GCAGTTTTAGAAAAAATGATCAATCTAGGTCAGCGGTTCTCAACCTGTGGGTCGAGACCCCTTTGGGGGTCGAACGACCCTTTCATGGGTCGCCTAAGACCATTGGAAAACACATATATAATTACATATTGTTTTTGTGATTAATCACTATGCTTTAATTATGTTCAATTTGTAACAATGAAATTGTGGATCACCCCAACATGAGGAACTGTATTAAATGGTCGCGGCATTAGGAAGGTTGAGAACCATCGATCTAGGTAATAATTTCATGCTAACTTGCTTATGATTCTGAATTTGAGTGGAAATGTACCCATAGAGCCCTGGACTCTGAAAACAGGCCAGCTTTGATTCTCTTGGTGATCCCTTGTCCTCCGTTCCTAGGACAGTGCACAGTGACCGGGACTGCGAGAACTCTCACAGCTGGCCCAAACGGCCCTCTCCAAAGCCTGACGGCGACAGCAACGTCTGCTTCGTTTGTTCTATACAGAGTTTAACAAGTTTGTTTAATTTACACATATTTAAACGTTTGTGCTATTTAATGCCTATAATTGCATATTGTACTGATTGCTGTATTTTCATTCTTCTCTTTGGAAGTTAAGGATCCACCAGTTCATAGTCTTTTTTAGTTTTTGGTTGAATTTTTTGTTAGGTTCCCCCAAATGGCTTTTCTGCTTTCATTTCTGACTGAATCCCTCCAATGCTCAGGTTAAGAATGATGCTGTTGGAGCTCAGTGTTTTACATTTCTGTATTGACACTTGCTTACCTTTCCCTTTTGATTGTTCCATTGGTGAGAAGATGGAACTCCTGCAGCGAGTGATTCAGTGGGGGATGATAGGTGCATTGTATTGCTAACCTCCTAAAGCATGATTAGAGAGAGGGTGGTCACTTTTTTTTTTTTTGTACTGCTTACCAGCAAGAAGGTTCAGAAAACAGGACTTCTCACCAGGAATTCAAAAGCTGAAAGAATGTGGCTCTGGGCAGATGCAAAAGTTTCAGCATTGAAGGTGGGGTGTGAGAGGGAGCCCCTAAGAAAATTTAATTTTCTGCCTAAGAAGCCTAACACACATGAACAATTTCTCCTAGAGTAAGGCCCTTTCCAGTCCGGTCTGCTGGTGCTATAGAGCTGGTATTCCAAGTATGTCCATCTGCATTTAAACGAATTGCTCCAAGACAATCTGATTATGCAGTAGTTACTTTGGTGAGAATAGCGTCTCAGTGGAATGGAAACTTCATTTTGAGTCTAATATTAGACCTTGCTTTGGAAAATTCCTTTTAAATGATCACAAGCTGGGAATAGCAAAAGAATTTAACTTTCGACAGACAGCACTGACCAAGAATTTTTAACTGCTTATGTTTGGGTTCTTGGGAAAGCAGATGTGAGAAGCTCACCAGACTGAATTGACTCGACTGGAGTTGACGTGACCCCGATGCGGTGTTTATATCTGTTGCTGATAAGATTTTTTCCTAGTCTCGTTTGCTGAAAATATTTTCATTCTTTGAGCGTGAGCATGCTAAGGATGAAAATTGTTAGGATGCCTAATTGTCTAACAATCTAACCTTCTAGGCTTCCAGACATTGTTGCCGCTCAAGGGGTCTGAGCCAAAGCGGACAGGCCAACCAACCTGCAGAACCCGAGGCAGTTTCTGAATGAGTGCTGCTGGGAACTGGAGCAGACCTGGCCGTAGGGAATATGTTCATGTAGCTGGCTGTGTCCGAGTGAACTCGATGGACTCCTAGTTTTAAGTAAACTTTATTTAAAGGACTGCTCTTCCATCCTATCCTCCCAAAACACCCCTCCTGTGATTTAAAAAAAAACACCCAATATACGTGTTAACTGATCATGGAATTTCTATACTGTCTCCTTGGCTTAGTTGAGGATGTATTTCAGACGCTTCACATGCCCTGAACTGGAAACACCAATGTTGGTGTGAAAAATGTGTTTAATATTTTAAAAGATCTTTCTGAAATTGAAGTGCATCTTTTAATCACAGTGCACATAGAATGTAGTGGGGTTTTTTTTTCCCCTGTGACTAAGCTGGTAATAAGTTGATGGTGCCTTAGACTTGAGGAAGGACATTAATAAGTTAATAGGAGTTGCCCTGTATTGATCACCTCATGGATCCCAGGCACTGTCTTTGCTCTCTCTACCAACATTGTCTCTGATAGTCACCCTCTGCAGTCCTGAGGGCAGCAGTGATTATGAGCCTGCTTTTGGACGTGAGGAGACTGAGGCTCAGAAAAGTTGCGTAGTTTGCTTGTGACCAAACAGCCAGTAATGGCTCGTTAACTGGCAGTGCCGGAGTTCCAATCCAGGACGGTTTGGTTTGACTTCAGAGCGTGTGTTCTTCCCTGTGGGTTATACTTTTTGGTATTTACAGTATTTGACATTAAACCCGAGGCCCTGGCCAGGTCGCTCAGTGGGTTAGAGCATCGTCCTGATAAGCCCAGATTGTGGGTTTGATTCCCAGTCAGGGCACATACAAGAATCAATCAATGAATGCATAAATAAGTGGAACAACAAATTGATGTTTCTCTCTCTCTCTCTCCTTCCCTCTCTCCCTCCCTCCCTCCCTTTCATCCTCTCTCTCTAAAATCTATACTAATAAAAGGGTAATATGCTAATTAGACTGGGAGACCTTCCAGATGTCCTTCTGGACAAAGCCATGGTAGCAGGGCCGAGGCAGAGGCGGTTAGGGGTGATCAGGCCAGCAGGGGGGCCGTTGGGGGGTGGGCAGGCCAGCAGTGGGGGCAGTTGGGGGCATGCAGGCTGGCGCGGGGGGGTGGTGCAGTTGGGGGTGATCAGGCTGGCAGAGGGGGGCAGTTGGCAAGAAGGCCATGCGGGGGGGGGGGCAGTTGGGGGTGAGCAGGCCGGTGGGGAGGGCAGTTGGGGATGAGCAGGCTGGCAGAGGGGGGCAGTTGGCAAGAAGGCCGTGCGGGGGGGTGGGGCAGTTGGGGGTGAGCAGGCCAGCAGGCAGAGTGGTTAGGGGACGATCAGGCAGGCAAGCAGGTGAGTGGTTAGGAGCCAGTGGTCCCGGATTGCAAAAGAGATGTCTGACTGCCGGTTTAGGAGCCAGTGGTTCTGGATTGTGAGAGGGATCCCAGATTGGAGAGGGTGCAGGCCGGGCTGAGGGACACCCCCCATGCACGAATTTCGTGCACCGGGTCACTAGTCAATAAATAAATTTTTAAGAAAACCTGAGAAATCGAAAACATTTTAATTCATTTTGAAAGGACAATCACAAATCCATTTTATGTTAACATAAATAACACTGAACTTAAAATCACTATTTTCCAAAATAAGAGTATTAAGTGTTATTGTTTTACCTTTTCTTTTTTGTAGATCTCTTTATTATCTAGCTAAGTGGAAGGCAGCTGGACTCTCTTCTGCATTCAGTCTGTGCAGTGCGACTGCTTTAGTTGAAGTATATGAAGAAAATCTGGCCTCAAACAGATATGTATCTGGAAAAGGTTCAACACTCAGCCCAGGATCTAGCCTACTCCTGGGCAAACAGTGTGAATACTCCCCTCGCACTCCCCTGATTCAGGTTACTCCCCACCCGACCCCCAAAGGAGGCAGAGAGGCAGAAAAAGAAAGGGAAAAACATTTTATTGCGTGCCCCACCCTGTCCTGTCTCCTATACCTCACCTCACCATCACTGACCCAGCAAAACCACACTTGCAAACCTCACCTCTACCCTCTTCTATAGCCTTTTTTGATAACCGTGGATATTCTCTTGATACTACACCAAAACTCCATAAGTGATAGTTTCTTAAAGGTTCGTTGCTGTGTGTGTGTACACACACACACACATATAATATATATATATATATATATATATATATATATATATATATATATATATATATATAGCTTTTCTCTAAAGGTTTGTTGCAATGTAGAATCAAACTATACAGTGGATTTGGGGTGCAGTTGAATTAAAATCCTTTGGTCTGAAATCTTCCTTACAGAAGAATTCTGGACAATATATTTAGAGCCTTGCCCACTTCAGGAAGTAGTTTCATTCTTACCACTCCATCCTCCCTGAGGTTAGGCTAGACCTGCTTCCACAACACAGAAAGAGTGCCTTTAGAGCGCAGAAAGCAGGGGGCGCTGCCTGAATGACCAGGTGGCGAAGGTGAGCATCGCCCGTGGCGTCCTGTGCCAGCAAAGGCTGCTGCTGTTTTCCTGAATGTGACGGGCTCATTTTGTTCACTTTTAGGAAAATGTCTGCTCAGTAATAAGCTAAATACCATGGTTTGTCTAGTAGTCATTCTTTCAAGTCAATTGATATTCATTGAAGAAAGCAGCTGGAACCAATTGTGCAAATGCTTTACCTCAAGACACCGTCACACTTATGCAGGCAGCACACGTGTTTCATGCCCTTCCCTGTTGTCACATAGAATATTCAAAGGCAGGTCCTTGGTGCCAAGATTTAATGGAATTGAAACCCTTACTGCTTTATTAAGGATATTCTTAAGAGAAATGGACTCCCCCCCCTTGTTACTGACGTGGTGGTGGAGAACCCCATAGACGCTAGTCCATTTTCCTCCACTGCCTTGATTTGTGCTCAGGCACCATTGGTTCAAAATGCCAACCATTGGACTTAGCAGACCTCCTATAAAACGGTCTTGGGCATCCTTAGGGGTCCCTGGCTCACGCTTTGAGAACCGCTCTCCTAAAGTAAAGTGGCAATTGCCAAAAGGTCACAGAGGAAGAGCTGACATCACTGAAGACAATCTATTAGGAACCCGGTGGTAATGTGGGGGCAGGGCAGTGTGTGTAGAAGGTGATATTCTTCTGGCTTACCTGGTCTTGCTTTTGATGGCTCATGAACCGTTTCCATTTGGGGTGTTTCCATGCATTTTAAAATGTTGAACTGCACACTTTGATCATCTGGTATCTGTGTTTGCTGCTGTTTTTTCCCCATAATCATACCTAAGACTTTATTCAGGAAATTCAGAAAATTACCTCTTAACCTTTGCTTTCTTTTCTTCAAAGGTAAATCTCACCTGGCTATTGTGCAGCGAGTTAACAATGAGGGAGAGGGGGATCCATTTTATGAAGTCCTGGGAATTGTCACCTTAGAAGATGTGATTGAAGAAATCATCAAGTCGGAGATTCTGGATGAAACAGATTTATACAGTGAGTAGCTTTGCCTGAGAGTAATTTCCCCAAACCTTTGCTTTCTTGATCATGTTGTTTGTGAGTCATTTGACATCTCTCCAGTTGTTGTCCACCTGTTTCCAATTATGCACTATGTGTGTAGGCTGTGTGCGACCAGTCGGTGTATCCAGTCTCCTCACCAGAGGGGGGCAAGCAGGGCAGGTCTTGTAATGTCAAGTGGCAATGTGGTTTTCTTTCTTTTTTTGAAAAGCCAGCTGATTCCAACCATTCATCTGGGCATTACTTGGCCTGACCAGAAAATTCATTTTGCACAATTAGATAAATTGTTTTCAGATAAATTTCTGTTTCTACTTAAGGTCATAATTCAAGTACTTAAAAAGTGAGGGGATTTATTGACGAGTAGCTATGGTTTAAATTTTCTAGCTCTGATAGATGAGGGTAGAGGTGAGGTTTGCAAGTGTGGTTCTGCTGGGGCAGTGGTGGTGAGGTGGGGTATAGGAGGCAGGACAGGGTGGGGTACACAATAAAATGTGTTTTTCCCTTTTTCTGCTTCTCTGTTCCTTTGGGGTGGGGTGGGGAGTAGCATGTGCCAGGGGCGGGGGAGGGGAGCATTCACACTGCCCAGGAGTAGGCTGGATCCTGGGCTGAGTGTTGAACCTGAATCCTGTTCTATCTGAGTCCACAACTGGATCGTCGGACTGTGCAGCTTAAACCTTCCTCAGCCTCACTCTTGCCAAAGGTGTCCCAAGGCCTGAGATGTTTGGGGTCTCAAAGGCGGGATAGAGAAAGAGCCGGGCGCCGGCCGTTTGGTTTTTGAAACACGATTGGAACGGATCATTCAAATGGCCCGAGGCACTCGGGGCAAAGTGATTTGATTCAGTTCCACTAGAACTGAATGTCCCTTATTTTAAAATTGAGAAAGTTTCCCACATACCCTTTAAAAGAACAGATTTTATAATTAGCCAGTGACCTGCTTCTGAGAAGTATCTTATTTTCCCCTCACATCTCTATAGTGTTCTTAAAAAACTCCAGTGTCTATGTGGTTTCAACACTTGGAGGGTAGTCAGAGGTCACATAATACAGAATATTGTCATGCGTGTCTACATTTTTTTCATTGTTCCTCACAGTGACTGTTTAATACCAAGTGTGTATTTGTGTATTTATGTGTTTCCCCAGGGGTATTACTCATCATAAGAAAGGTAGTTTAGACATTTATGAGATCTTCTATTTGTACTTGAGTGAACTTTTTTCAAACGTTGTTTAGATTGATTTCATACAAAAGTGTTGTCTAATGTAACTTACTGATATGAAATGCTGAACATGTGGTTTCCTGTATATTGATTAAATAGGTGATCAGAGATGATGACTTTTGTCATTTGAACATTATTTTACATCTTTGTGTTGATTTATACTGTCTGATTCTCAAAAGAATTTGAGATAGAAGAACTTAAGTATAAGTTGTGATCATTTTCTCCCCAAAACAAGCCTAGTAAGCCATCTGTTTCGCCCTAGACGTGAAATGGTAGTGCAAAGACTTTTGATTTTGGGGAAAGGAGCAAGCACTTGAGTCCTTGTCTTTAATCTAGTGTTTTTCTTGATTATTATTTTGTCCAGAAAAATACGTGAAGACAGGTTTTGCATTAGACCTTCTAGATCAGGGGTTGGCAAACTACAGTCCACGAGTGCCTATTCCCTGTTTTCGTGTGTCTCACAAGCTACCAATTTTAAAATTGTGTTAAAAAAAAAAGAATAATTATTTTGTGACATGTGAAAATGATATGAAATTCAAATTTCATGTCTGTGATAAAGTTTTATTGGAATACAACCATTCTAATTCATTCAATATGGCAGCTTTTGCTAAATAGCAGAGTTTAGTAGTTGCAACAGAGACTGCATGATCTCCAGAGCCTGAAATATTTACTACTTAGTCCTTTACAGAGGAAGTTTGCTGACTTGTGTTCTGGATCACTTTCTTCATTTTTGCTTGACCTTGAGGATCTTGTGATCTGGGTAGAAATGAAGCTAACAGATGTTACTTAAAAAAAGTCTTGATTTTTTTTTAGAGAGAGGGGAATGGAGAGAGAAAGAGAGAAAAACTTTGATGTGAGAGAGAAACATCAATCAGTTGCTTGCTGCATGCACCCTGACTGGGAATTGAACCAGTGACCTTTCGGTGCACAGCACAGTGCTCAAGTAACTGAGCCACGCTGGCCAGGGCTACAGATGTTACTGTTAAAGTGCTTTTCTATGAACGTGTTTTGTTTTGTTTCTTAAGAGATTGCGCTCAGATATTTGTTTCATCTTCCAGCACAGGCTAGGAGCCTGTCCGAGGCAGGGACACACTTCCTTCGTGTCTTCTGTAACAGTGACACAGGAGCAGGAGACCATGCGCCCTAGGCTACATCCTCGGTTGCTATGGGTTACATAGGTTTTATGTGGGGAGGGTTTTGTTCGAGGCTGCCCAGTCAGGTACCTGTAAGGACGCTAAAGAAACCATGAGGTATATTTGTCGTTGCTACTAATCAGGTTGCCTGTTACTGACTCTGGATTGCCGTTCTGACCGCGCAGCACTGATGTGATGAGGATTCTCTCTTCTGTCCTCTTTCCATGTGGCGTTTGTGCGTACAGTGCCCGCAATCTGGAGAGAATTGTGTGTTGGACAGTTGACTAATTCTCTCTTCTAGCCTTTGCAGTATATTTTGTTCTTTTCATTGAAAAGGGGCCCTGATCTAGAATGAAATGCATTTGCTTACTTTTTTCTTATTCTTTGCTCAGCGGATAACAGAACGAAAAAGAAAGTGGCCCATCGTGAAAGAAAGCAAGATTTTTCTGCCTTTAAGCAGACAGACAGCGAGATGAAGGTTAAAATATCACCACAGCTTCTCTTGGCCATGCACCGTTTCCTAGCAACAGGCAAGTGCAACTTATCACAGTTTGAAATCTCTACCAACCCCGAAGCGAGTGTTTCTCACCCACCGCTGACTGGGGTGGGCTGGGGTGGAGACTGGGAAATGGGGTGAAAAGCAATGCCACGTTTGTGTTTTGTTTTAGTTTTTTTTCTTTTTAAATTCTCTCCTCTCCTATGTTCAGTGTCGGCATGAACTCTCTGAGACATTTACCAGGTGGACCAGTAACTTTAATTGGTCTGAAAGGTAAGGATGAATGTTAGTGCCACACTGCATGTGAACAGTAGGCCAGGTCCTCTGCTTCCAGCTAAGCCCCTGGGAGCGCCAGCTGGCGGAGTAGGCTGACAGTGCGAGCCAGACACCACCTCGCTGTGTGTCGGACAGCTGAGTAATTCTCTCTTCAGCTTGCCTTGGAGGAACAGTGGATGTCAGTGATAACACAGGTGCTATGACTTACAAAGAAGAAAAATAGATTTTCAAAGTGAAATCTTTCTGATTTAATGAAATCAGAAATTCTGAGAACTTTGATAGGGATTTCTTGACGGCCTCTTCAAATCAGATTATTAACTTGGGCCCATTCCAGGAGGCAAATGTGCACATTGTTAAAAACACCAACCCAGCCGGCACTGACTGCTCCATAGAGGTCAAGGTTGAATGAACTTAAGAGACTGACTAACCCTTCTCACATCCCCAGTGGCTCTGTAGGTAAAGGCTGAGCTCTGTTGGCCAGGGGAAGTGAGAGAAAATCTGAAGGTACCCCGTGACCTGTAGAAGACGTCTGTGTCCAAGATGGGCAGCCAGCACCTTCCAACTGCGGGCAGTACGCTTAGAATATTTTGAAAAGAAGGCCAACAACAGCCACATGAGGGGATGTTGTGCACTTTTTAAAATCATGTTTTCAGAAAACGGAAATGCTCACAATATAATATTTACAACATGGAGAAATACTCATAATTTAATGTAAAGTGAGGACAAACAGGATATAAATCTGTGTGTACAGGAAGGTGATAGAGTCTTTTTGGACGTACACACATGCATAGGCACAGGCCTAGGCGAGGTACTGGGAGGAAACGCTCATCACCAGTTGCTCACAGTGGTTGGTTTATAGGTCACTATTTATTGTCCTCTTTGTCTTTTTCTGTATTTTCCAAAATTTCTACAACGTACTATCTTATTTTGTTATTACAAAAAAGCACAGAAGCTAATACAGAATTTATATTTTTCATATATAACATCATTTAAAACATTTAAAAACCTATAAGCAGTATTTCTAACTTCCTTGCTTATTCTTTCTCTAATTGTGATATTCTTCTTCATCACCCAAGAACCACAATTTAAAACGAAATGTTATCCTACTCTGCCTCTGAGATACCGTAAAGTCCAGTTTCAGAATAACACCTTTAAATCAGTAATTTTGGCTTTTATCTTAAATAAAATGTATGTCTTTGTAAATATAGATGAACATAACTTTTTTAAATTAGCAAGTTGGAGTGCATGTTGATGTGTGCACGTGCCTTGCTTTTATCCCGAGTCTCTCCGTGTCCCTCATTCCCAGACTTTTCTCAGGGCAGTTGAATGGGAGATGGAGATGTGGGGCACTGCGTTGTGCACCTGGTACTAACCCACAGCTAGATGCTTCCTGACCGTTGCTTCTTCCTTTGGCTGTTGTTGGACAGTCAGGCTGTTGTGGCTGTTGAAGGACATCCTGGCAGTCAAGGAGCCTGCTTCCGGTTGATTTTCATTTGTATCAGTCAGGAAATTAGAGTGTTCTTATGAGAACTAAAACCAATGACAGATTGAAAAGGAAGAATTTTATTTTATTGATTTTTTACAGAGAGGAAGGGAGAGAGATAGAGAGTTAGAAACATCGATGAGAGAGAAACATCGATCAGCTGCCTCCTGCACATCCCCCACTGGGGATATGCCCGCAACCCAGGTACATGCCCTTGACCGGAATCGAACCTGGGACCTTTCAGTCCGCAGGCCGACGCTCTATCCACTGAGCCAAACCGGTTTTGGCATAAAAAGGAAGAATTTTAAAGAAACAAATATGAAAATGCAGCATTTTCTAATTTCTCCCAGGTAATCTGCCCCCAGTGGATCACCAAACGGAAGTCTCGTTAATCCATATTGCATCACTTTAATTCCAAGTATTATTACCCAAATACCTTAATCACTAGTCTAACATTTTCTGTCCATTTGAAGTGTAATGTCAAGTTGTGTTTATATCTGTAGAAGTAGAAGCATTTAGCCCATCCCAGATGTCAGAGAAGATCCTTCTAAGGCTGCTAAAGCACCCCAATGTCATCCAGGAACTGAAGTATGATGAGAAGAACAAGAAAGCCCCAGAATACTACCTCTACCAGCGCAACAAACCTGTAGACTACTTCGTTCTCATTTTGCAGGTCAGAGACTTATTCAGTAGCTGTTTGATCTCATTGAGTACCCACCCTTCAAGTTCTGAGATTTGGTCTAGGTGAATGGGTGTCGGATTTTACATACTTCTGGGGTAGCCGTGTAAGTGGGAGAATTTCATCTCCCCGTTTTCATCTCCGTAAAATAATCTATATACTAGTATATAAAAGGCTAATATGCTAAGTGTCCGTCCGGGTAATGACATCATGTAGCAAAACCAAGCTTCCTCTCCCTAGCAGCTAGCCTCCTTGGAGTTTCTTCAGCCCAGGAACACAACTTGCTTTATAGCCAGGTGCAAACACTTTACACTGTAACCAAATGTCTGTGAAGCATTTTCCCGTACCTCATCTCATTTGATCCTCACAGAAGTCCTGGAGTAGGTAGATAGGAGACTCGGTAGAACCCTATTTTCTTTTCATTAGCCAGAAAACGGAGATTTAGAAAGCTTAGAAACTTGACCTGACTGAAAAGAAGTAAGAAGTGGTGGAACTTGAAAATGACTTCAGGTTTTCTCACTGCGCAGAATATAGTCAAACACTGCTGCAGGTAACATTTTACCCTTTGTTCCCCCTGTGTGATCTACAATAATAATCTGCTCTGTGTTGATATTTATTGCTGTGTTGCTGACAATTACCTGAAAGAGAAGTTGGGGTGCTTCACTGGGCTGGGAAAATGTTTAGCTAAATCAGAAAGCAGGTCTGATTAAGCAAGTTTATTCTATATCTATAGAAGGCTAAGTTGGCTCACGCATGTGTGATACATATAAAGCTCTTGTTGGCGCCAATCGCATGTGTGTGTTTCCATCTGTCATTGTTGATCGTGAATTTGGTTGACACTTCTATTATAGAGAAAGGGCGAATAGTGATATTAAAATATTTCTTCTAGTTAATTTCCTTTCAATGTGCACGAGTTCGTGCACCGGACCACTAGTTCCAATATAAGCAATGCCATTAGTTACTTTAATTTCCAATACTGAAGGGCACTCAGTGATTGCTGAGGCCCTGAGTCAAATGAAGAAGGGTGAATTCAATTGTTAGTATTTTTTGAAGACTTCGGGGAATTACCTGTACGTGTCTAAATCTTGGCTGGACATTTAAAATTTAAGTGTCTTGAGTTCCCTGGGTCCTCTTTTTATCCCCGCTCCCCCCACCGCCCGTCCTCTCCTTAGGATTTGTTCTCATAGTTTCCTGGAGATATTTTACTATCTCTTCCCTTAGTACTATCTAAATAATTCATTTATTATAGTTTTTATTCCTGGTTACTAACCAGACTATTTTACAGAGGAACTGATGTCATAATCACAGCCTCTCATGGAAATGGTGACTTGTTTCCTTCTCACTACAGCATAATCCACTATGTAAGGTGGGAAGGTCGATCCAGTGTGAACCCTCCTTGGGGCTCTGGTGCCTGAGTTATCAGGAGACACTGATAACATCACAGTATGACTAATAGAACACCGTCCTTGGCATGGAGACCAACATGAACATTAGAGTGAACAAAATGCTACTTTTATTCACTTCTTGTACCTCTTTATTGAAGAATTACTTTGTAGGAAATCTTGATTTTATTTCAATACAAGAATACTAGCCCCTTAAGCATTCTCATATTTCTTGCTTACTTCTAAGATATGAGTTGGAGGTATCATTATAAGAGTGTAGTCAGTACTTGGTAGGCCCTAAAATTTACATGAGTCCAGCAAGGCCCCAATTATCTAAATGGATGAAGAAGGTTCTCTTTGTTTGGAAGGAACTCTTATCAGATATCTGTGTCAGAAACTTGGGAAAGTGTTGTTTCATGCCCCATGCTTGGGCAATATTGTGGCATCTGGAAGCAGAAGTGAGGAACTGTAAAAAAATCCATGGGTTAACTGGTCACATGCCACTTTCATACAGTCTTTCTTGGAAACATCTGTTGGCAGGGTTTTCTAATTCAAACCCGATTCCTCTACGAACCTTAGTTTTGTTCAACTTCAAATTGTTTTTCTTTTATGGGAAATGGACAAGCTCAAAATTCTGAGGGGCTGTGGAGGATTTACTGCAGTGAGGGAATAATTATTCATGTTTCTCATAAAGCTAGATGTGAGTACTAGTATTCCTTAAACCTAGAGAAACTTTGGATTACATTAAGAATGATTATTTAGGACAATTTTGAGGATTGACATTGTGGATTTCAGTGGTAACAGTAGAAACTATGATGCTTTCAGTTGTCAATTTTTATATGGTTAGTCTTGATGCATTTGTGATTCAGTAATGCTCTGTTGGTATAGAAGAGAGCCATTATCTGGCTGACGGGTCTCAAAATAGATTTTATGGAAGAGGGACTTTGTAATCCCTGCCCATTTACAAGTAAGTCTTCTAACATAAAGATATTTTTGACAAGGCATGTGTATATGTGCCTGCATTGGAATACCTATGCCATGTGTATATTTATACAAATGTGGCGAGTTTTCTGAACTGTTGAGCTGATGATGCCATGGGGTTTTATAAATAGTGTAAGTGCTGGATTAAAAGGACTTGTGGAGGAGTTTAAATGACAGTTTGGTGCACTGGCTTTCCTGACCCTAACTCACTCCCGGCTTTTCCACCTCCACTCAAGGTGTCCATTTCCATTCACAAAGGGCCAACTTCTGTTGTGACTATCGAGTCCCTTCTTCTCCCTTATCCTTCTTTCTCCCTGTTGGTTTCACCAAATTATGTCCATTCTTTATCCACACTCATCTTTTTCCAGTCCTGTGGTTGCCACTCTAGTTAAGTCTGGGCTTTATCTTCCTGAAACCTATTCCTCTGTTCAAGAACCTGACCTCATTAGCTCATCACCTCAGGAGCTCAGAGTCTAATCTGCCCTCCAAACTGCTCTTCCAAACCCTTCTTGCCCATCTTCCCTGTGCAAACCCAGTGAGCCTGGCAGTCTGCTGTCACCGACCTTGGACCTTCCTTCATGCTGTTCCCTTCTCTTGGCTCAATCAAATCCCCCTCCTCCTCAGATTTTTATTTCCTGTATAAAATTGCCTTTATATAACAACAGGGAAGTAATTTCTTTCTCTGAATTCTTTATATTTTTTAAAAACTGTTTTTATTTCAGAGAGGAAGGGAGAGGGGGAGAGAAATAGAAATATCAATGAGGAGAATCATTGATTGGCTGCCTCCTGTATGCCCCCTACTGGGGATCAAGCCCATTAGCTGGGCATGTGCCCTGACTAGGAATCGAACCATGACTTCCTGGAGGTTCATAGGCCGACACTCAACCACTGAACTACACTGGCCAGGCTGAATTCTTTATATTCTTACTGGGTTTTTTTCCCTCAGTAAAAACTGTACTGCTTTGCATCTTTGGTTTTCATGTGCTCTCCCCTCCCTACTGGATTCCACAGCGTCTGCTCTGGGACCTGCAGGAATGGTCAGGTTTTCAGCACCTACGTGCAGGTTGATTTTAATAATCCGTTCATTTCTTATGGCAAGAGAATTAGTGGGAGTTGGTAAAACTAACATAGCCATTGAGGGAAGGAGAACCTAAAAGAGAGACAACAGGTCGTTTTCTGAAGTGATTTGAGAAAGGTCTCCCATAATCGGGAATTTAGTCTAGAATAACAGGGAGTGATCCGAATAAACGAGTTGCCTTGGTGGGTGGCATAGGTCGCATCTTGGTGAAGAGCTTGCTCTTCGGTTACTTAATCTTTCTGAGCCCCCACTCCTGACTTATAAGAGGCGGGTCGTTGTGTCTGCTTCTGAGTTGGGAGCACTAAGTGAGTTAATCAATGCACTGACTGGCTAGCACAGTTCCTCTTCAGTAAACGGTGCCTTTTTGTTTGCCCACCGTGAAGGCCCCTCTCACACAGAGGCAGTCAGGGCCGTTCTGAGCCGTGGCTTGGAGATCCAGACGTGCAGCTCAGTCACTAGGGTATTGCAGGCGCCCAGAAAGCGCATATTGAGCATCTCCCGCGAAGGGATTCTGGTCGACCCTAAGGCCATAGGGACCGGTAGGGAGGTCTGTCCCAAGGAACTGGTAAGAGGGAAGGAGATGGAGACCAGTTGGAGAAAGGGAGGAAAAGGGAAAACCTTGGGAGAGGTCCTGTCCTGAGGGAGGAGACTTCCTTAAGGTGCTTCTGGGGCTGCAAGGAGCTTGTGCCAGGTGGTGCGTGCCCCTGGGGAGTCTGGACGACAGGGGACTGGCCTGCAGGACGTCTGAGCAGTTGCTCAGGGGACCATGCTAGTGAGGGGGCGCCCCTGCGAACCCGTTTAGTCCTCTCTGTCCCATGGCCACAAAACGTGCTGACCCTTGACCCTGACTCTGCTCCAGCCTGGGCTCCTACAGGACAGCGTGGCCACCATCCCTGAGCCTTCCCGACGGAGTGAGAGCATCGTCTTCTCATGGCCGGGGGGGCTCCTGAGGAATCCACAGCTAAGGATGCTGGGAAAATATTAAGTGGACGAGAGAAGTTAAATATCACACTTTCACTGCCACCTCTGCATCCCCAGCCAAACCTGGTTTTCACGTTTGAGAAGAAGGAACCTCTCCTCAGGGGGAAGATGGTCAGGGGCGTTGCTGACTTGGGATTGCGGGGAAGGGATTTAGTCAGACTCGAAGACAGGACCAAGTCTGGCCCAGGTTTGCACGTGGATTCACGTGCTGGACTGAAGACGCCCCCTTCTCTCTTCACAGGGTAAAGTGGAAGTAGAAGCTGGGAAAGAAGGTATGAAGTTTGAAGCCAGTGCTTTTTCGTATTACGGTGTCATGGCCCTCACGGCCTCCCCAGGTGAGTTGCCTTCAGTCTGAGGGCAGAGCCGTGCTTTGGGAAATAGCGTCCTCCTACGGCCGCCTTCCTCTCCCTGCCTGCAGCTAGCCCTGTTTATGCTTCCTGACCTTCGTATTGAAGTGTATCGTGTGTACAAAAAAACTGCACAAATCATAAGTACATGTACTTGTGTGAACTTTCACGAACAGAGCACGCCGGTGCAAACAGCCCGATCAGAGACCAAACATCCCTGGCCCCACAGGACCCTCCGCCACCCCACACGCCCTTTCAGGGTGAATTTACTGCGTCCGGCTGCTTTAACCCAGCGCTGCCCGCACGCTCACCTGTGTTGTCACAGGCGCTGACGCCATTTCTTCTCGTTGCTGGGAGTGCTGTTGTGCGCGTGCCCAGCTGCGTTTATTCTTCTCGTTGCTGATGGGCGTTGGGTGGCCGCCTGTTGGGGCTGCTGTGGTTGTGTGATGGACACTCCTGTGCTGCCTTTTGATGAACGTGTGGGCCTCCCTCCGGATCTGTACATCGGAGTGGGATTGTGGGCTCACAGGTATGAGGGTCTCTCCAGCTCTAGTAGTTTTCCGAAGTGTTCGCATCACACCTGTCCTGAGGACGTTCCGTGGCTGCACCCGCGGTATCGCCGCGTCATCTCAATGGTAACTGCTCTGGAGGTTTTTCAATTTGCATTTTCCTGCGGATGAATGAGGTTGTTAATATATATTTATGACCTATATCCAGCTCTTATCTGGAGTCAGCCAGTTCTGGGTGGCTGTGCCATGGGCCATTAACTAAGTGCTCTGCACAAGATGCCAGCAAGCGGAGCTTGTCCTAGTGGGAACATGGACACGGGTACCTGGCTCACCTCGGGGATGGGACTTGAATGGTCCCTATCGACATTGCTGTGCGCGTGTGCTTGTGTGTGAGTGTGTGTGTGTGTGTGTAGAATGGGGCAGGCAGGCAAACAGAGGTGCCGTAGTGCCACCTTGTGGCTAAATGTCAAATGACAGGCTGTCCTAGAAAACTTTTGCAATAGCCTATCCTAAAAACCACTGTTACTTCTGAAAAACAGTCTCAAAAGGGGGGGGGGGGGGGGCTACTTCCAGACAAGTCTGTTTTTGTGATGTTGGTCCTCAGCTGTGCCACACGATGTCGCAGACACTGAGATGTTACGATTAGAGGCCAGGGCAGCGTCAATCCTCTCACACCCCCAAGCCTCCCCTGCTCCAGAGGCATCTTCTCACTCTCCCTGGGCAGGTGTTTGAGTCACAGGGGCCAGTGCCCCATTGTCAATGCTGACGAGCACCCAGTGTGAACGTAGCCCCATCAAACCCACGGCATCAGGCGGTGTCGGCCGTGCGCGAAGGTCGTCTGTTTTCACTGCTCATGAGGACAGGGAGGTTCTTCGCCGGCCGAGAAGACCCGCGGTACAGCCAGGTGCCAGACTTTGAGAAAGGCCCTTGGCTTCCTCACTGTTGAGAGGATACAAGATTACGTCGTGTGACTGTTGGAAGCATCGATGTGGTGATGCTCACATGTGCTTCGTAATCTTTAAAGCACAAGAGGGAACGTTGGTGTGACAGGTGTTGACATTGTGACGACTTTTTGGCAGCCAACCTCAGATCAGCCCACGTGAGCAGAATAGATTCACAACGCAGTTTTGAAAACAGAGCTGGGAGAGAAAATTGTACATTTTTATTGATACTGAACTGTGGGTTCATGTGAGGCTAAGTCCCATTCAGAAGAGGAATTGAGAGCAGGCCTTCATATAGACAACTGGGGGCTGCCTGCCTTGTTTGGAAATGCCAGGAAGGAAGGGGATTTCGTTAATAGCCTCTTATTACAAAGCCCAGTGTTGTCCTCGACTTTACCATTCGGATTTGGGATTTTGTATGTGCGAGAGATGCAATTAGTACAGTAATCTCAAGATCATATTTTTATTAATTTTGATTGCCTAGAAAAATCCTACAGTAATCTGTTATCAAGGTCTGCCCAGTTATATGTCCAGTATACCTCAGTTTAAAAAACAAACCTGCCCAGATAAGACTCCTGCCCAGCACGCAGTGCCGCCGGGACTCCGGCCAGGTGGCTGCAGCTCCCTGTGTGGGTAGGCAGTGACGAGCACGCCTGTCCTGCCCTCGCCAGGAAGTCTGTGCACGTTGCTCTTTATTTACTGGCCTCTAATACTTGGACATTTCAGAGTATTCCAGAGCTATTCAAAGCATCAAGTCAGAATTACAGTCAGACTGACTAAGGGTGTAAGTGAATTGAATAGGGAGTTGTAGGCTGTCCTGGGAGTGCGCAGGGGGTGCTGGCACGGCGGTTCGGGTCCTGTTCTTGAGGCTCCTGGCTGTGGCTAGCTGTGACTTAAGTGGTCAGAAGAGCACCTTCAGAGCTATGTCCCATTGGGTGTTCGTATGGCTTAGAGATTTCTAGGTGAGAAAGAAGCATGGCGACCAGGATTTCGGCCTCCCCGGCCCCTCTTCCTGGAAAGCGGTGTGTCCTGTTTCTGTCAGGCCTTTTCAGTTCTGGAACCGCTGGCTCATATTGGTAGGACTGGTACCCACTCCTGTCCCCTGATTACAGAGGTCTCCTTTCTTGCCTTTCGATATGGTCTCACCCTGTTTTTCTCCATTTTTCAGTTCCTTTGTCCCTGTCTCGTACCTTTGTTGTCAGCAGGACAGAGTTGTTAGCAGCAGGTTCTCCAGGTAATTCTGCATGTTTCCTTTTTCATAATTCTGATTGCCTCCCTGCCCCCGCGCCCCCCACCCCCCGAAGCCACCTTCGGTTTCTCTGTAAGCTCTAGCTCTCCATGTTTCTGTGCCTTCATATGAGCTCCTCAGGAACATATACGCCCACAACAGGTGCAGAAAGGGCTTGGGATGCTGGCAGGGGATTGGGAACATGATGGTAGGAAACGCGGGAAGGAAGAGGGACCTGTCCGCCCACACTGCCCACCTGGGGTTTGCAGAGCAGCCACGGCGGTCACTTTGGTTCTTTCTCTGACCTCAGCAAAGTCATGTGTGTGGAGGCAGAAGCCCCAAGGACCACAAAACCCGAGGACGCTTCCACAGAACACACAGCCCAACGCCTGAGGGACTGACTGTTCGTGGTAAATCCACAGCATTCCTGTCTCCGTCCTCCCAGCGTCCACGCGAGCGGGTTCCTGCAGCCTGTCCTCCGTTGGGCAGGCGGCCCTGCCCCTGTCCCCCCCTTTGTTTTGAAGTTAGTGCCGTGCACATTCCTAACCAGCTGCTGGTGATTGCCCTGCAGGAGGGTCAGCTGTGCCTGGCTCACATGTCCAGCTGCTAAAAACGAAGGCAAAGCCTTAATCTTTCTTTAATTAAAATTGCTGGGCTTCCCTATTCGATAGGACGACTTTTCTGTATTTATTTTGTTCCATACAGCTTAGATTTTTAAAATCTGAGTGATGAAATTTGTGTTTCATAAGCCAATTTCAGCAAAACTCTAAAATGCTGATATTTGATAAAGGAGGCAATGCTTGTCTTAGGAACTAATGTTCCCTCACATCTTTGCTTTGAAAAGTTTGGGGTGTTTGGGGGTAAGATATAATTCATAAGGCTTTTTAAATATGTATATTGATTTCAGAGAGAGGGAGAGAGAGAAGCATCAATGAGAGAATAATTGATTGGCTGCCTCCTGCATGCCTCCTACTGAGGATCGAGCCCGCAACCCTGGAATGTGCCCTGATTGGGAATCGAACTGTGACCTCCTGGTTCATGAGTCGATGCTCAACCACCAAGCCACACTGGCCGTGCTCATAAGGCTATTTGAATGGAACCACTTGGCCGACTATACATACATGTGGATGTGCACATACATGTATGCACATTAGTATGTATCTGTGCATATGTATGCGTGATTTTTTTCCCTCCCCATTTTATTTGCTGGCATCTGCCACCTATTTAAAATGTCACAGAAGCTGAAGTGGACTGACTTTTGGATGAAGCTCATGGAAATGTCTTTTACTTTTTAACATTTCCCATGAAACTTAAGAGATTTCTCAGCTGAGCCAGTAGCAGCAAACTGCGTTTGCAGGCCCAGGACTCGGGGATCTGGCAGGACCGTAGCATGACTCCTAAGAAATGGGTGGGTTAAACCGGAGATTTCCAGCCTCTTCCACCCGTGCCTGGGGTTCCCAGGGAAGAGGCTGGGAACGCCTCTTTATTGTATCTTTCTAGCTTACTAGCAGTGAGAGAGGATGCCTAGGTAGGATGAATTTTAAAAGGCAAGACAAAACCAGAAAACAATTCTGAGAAGACATAAAGAGGAATTAAAGTTGAAAGCTGTTTTCATAATTGCCTAACATCTTGGCACATAAATTCGGCAGCAAAACATGACCTGAACAGGAGGGAGGCCATATAGAGTCCGTATTCTCCTTCCAGTGAACATACATACATGTCATTGCATGTTGAGGGAAGGCTGGCCCTGCTTCTCCAGACTGTGGCTGTGAGGCCAGGCGCGGGTGGAGGGGAAGCTGCCTACGAGTCTAGATGCTGGAAGACCAGAGAAAATGCTCTGTGATCCTCCTCAGGACAAAATAACAGGAGACTCGGAGGCTCTGCGCCAGGCCTCTGATACCTGCCTGCCAACACACAGGGTCTGGTCGGTAAGCAAAGTGCCCTTTAAATGTTTCATTTTCATCACCTTTACATTGTCACACACAGAAGGAAACACCATTTTGAAGATATCTGTAGAAATGGTGATGTGATTTTGGACTAAAACTCAGGGATACAGTGGGATCTCTTGTTTCAAAGAGCTGGGGGGTCTGTCAGCTGGTGACGTCACCACCAGTAGGAAAGGCTTGGTGGTGAGGGCAGGCATGGTGGAGAGGGAGGAGCTAACAGGAAAGAACACAACAATGTTACCCAGGCTCATCTGTCAGGTGCTTAATCGGAGTCAGATGCTATGCTGAGCACTCCATCCATTATCTCATTTGCATCTTCATCAGGCCACGTGAGGTGGCACTGTTATTATCTGCCTTTTACAGGTAAGGAATCTGAGGCTTTGCAACACTGGGGCATCTGATCAAAGCTCCGTTCTGCTAAACAGAAAACATCTGATAAATTTTTAATTTGCCTTTTTCTCTTAGAAGCTAAGTGGAAGCAACAAAAGAACTGCTACTATGAGTTTAATTTTTGCCTAAAAATGGAAAATTGGTTCATGACATGGAAATTGTGGGGAAAGTGGTGACATGAAAATTTTAGCAGAAAGTGAACTCTTCATTTGACATTCCTCGAGTAGCTCCCATGTTTTGTTCTGGGTGTCATTATAGGGAGGACATTCATGAATGAAATCTCAGATGGTGGTCAGGATGGGATGACAGGTGGTAAAACGTGAGCTGAAGTACTTAACTTGGAGAAGAGATTTAAGGCGAACATACTGTCTTTGAGCTTTTAAGGGCTATTTCAAGTAGCAGGGGCACAAAAGCTCCATAGAGTGAAGGGGCGGCTGTCATCTGAAGTTGGGGAGGCAGATTTTGATGGGCGCGGTGGTAGATCTTCCCATAGCTGAAGGGTGGGACCAGCTGAGGGCCAGCTCTGTGGGAGCATCTGTCAGGACACATTGCAAAGAGGAGCTAACCTTCAGGTGGGAGAACTGGTCCCCTCCAGCCCTAGGACATGGTGCACCTCAGGACCTGTCATGTGTGGGCACCGGTTCATATTTGTGGAATAGGTTGGAAAAGCAAACATGAGAGAAGCCTGGCAAGGGGGCAGGTCTTATTTTAAATGAAATGTATGTTAAAAGCAGTGGGAAACCGGCATTTAAGAGCAACATCACTCAGACTTACTGGACTGTCTGTCTCACTGACGAATCACACAGCACCTAAGGTAACCTAAACCTCTTAGGGGTTTGGTGTCTCCTGGTGTTGAGCCACCTCGGGCTGCCTGCTGGGGGTTTTATTGGAGTCAGAGACAAAGGTAATGGGTTTGGCTGGGAGGTAGGGTGTGATCCCTTTAAAACACACACTGATTCATGACCATCCTCAGGAGCTCTTTGCTTTTGCTTCTGGCTTGGGCCGTGCCTCCCCGGGTTGTGCGTTTCGCAGCCGGCGCCGTGCTCCTGCACCGCGGGGCCTGTCCGGCAGAGACTGGGGAGGACCGTGTCCCGCACTCGACAGGCTGCGCAGCTGATCCCAGTGGAACCCGTCGCTGAGGGAAGCAGCGGGCTCCTGTGGGAGGCCTGCGGGGGGAGCTGTGCGGCTGGGGCGTCAGGCAGAAGGATTACGCTTGTCTCCTAATGACTACGTTTTTATTGTCTGGAAAACACAAGGCTGCCTTTATTGTTCATATCTACCTCACTTTAACAGTGGTTGGGTGTGTGTTTTTCTCTCCATTTCCAGGTGAAAACAAGTCCCCTCCTCGCCCGTGTGGCTTGAATCACTCAGACTCTCTCAGTCGAAGTGACCGGATTGATGCAATCACACCTTCGCTGGGGAGCAGCAATAATCAGCTCAACTCTTCGTTCCTTCAAGTCTACATCCCCGACTACTCAGTGCGCGCCCTTTCTGATCTCCAGTTTGTTAAGGTAAGAGCAGAGAGCGCCGCTGGGCTGGACCTGGAAGTTCGAGGTCAAATCCACAGCCAGCCGTTTGGCTCCCCAGCCCCTCCACCGAGTCCCTGTCACCCTGTGGTGCCCTGCCTCCAGCCACTGTGTCCAGGACTCAGGTGGGGAAACACATGTATGTCCTTGGTGGGCTCTGTCCAATGAGCTGCCAAATCAGGTGTGGCCGTGTGAGGGGAGGAGAGCTGCAGCTCTAAGAAACAGAACAGCCTTTCACAGGTCTTCATGGGCTCGGACTCGAGAGACTTGCTTGGTCCTGAAAGGGCAGAGGTCGGAGACTCGGAAGACTGGCCAGGAAGGAGTGGGAAGAGCCCTCCACTGACCTTCTGCCCTGGGACAGGCTCCTTTCCTTAGTCTGAAATAAAGACGCCTCTCGGAGAACAAGCCAGCTTTAGCTGATGGAAGCCTAGCTCCATTTTCTAATCTCTGGGAAGCTTTGAAATAAAATTTGGAAATGGCTTAAATCAGTAAAAACTGACTTGCTTACCAGAGTCAACTTGAACTTTAAAAAGTGGCTCCGCTTGGCTCCTGGGAGCACACCTGCACCTTCCCGCCTCCCCTTCCCCTCGCCTAAGCTCCAAGGGCCCTGCTTTGCCTCTGTAACTCGTTTCCTGAGCCCATTCCTTCTACAGCTCACCTCCTCACATCTACCACCTCTGTGACTTTCTAAATAAATTTTCTCATTAAAAAAAAGTGGCTCAGTTTGTACTCAAGGATGACTTTCTAGAGAAACAACTAAGGGCCTTTTGGGGGACTTGATGTGTAATACGATGTCCAGACAAGAGAACCTAAAACTAAGCATTATCTTGGTTTGTTTTCTGTACCATCTTCTGGCCCCAGATCTCAAGACAGCAATACCAAAATGCCTTGATGGCATCCCGGATGGACAAAACTCCTCAGTCTTCAGACAGTGAAAACACTAAAATTGAATTGACTCTTACGGAGCTGCACGACGGGTTGCCAGACGAGACGGCCAACCTGCTCAATGAACAGAACTGTGTGACGCACACCAAGGCCAATCACAGCCTACACAATGAAGGCGCCATCTAGGGCGCCCCCAGGCCCCCTCCCCCAAATCCTGGGCCAGGCCACCTGCCTCGCCTGTCTGACAGTGAATCCCGTTAGTGTGAGCTTGTGTGCCATGCTGCGTCCTGCAACATCCTGAGACCAAAGACTTTGTCCCCTTCCTGGGAGCAGCAGAGGAGGTCGGTGAGGGCAGGAGTGGAAACGAGGGCTGGGGTTTGACGTTTGAGATTTTGGAAATGAACTTCCACCCAAATAGAATCATGTTTATTTTTTCAGCTGCACCTTTTGTTATTCACTCTCCTCCTCCTTTGATTTGCATGAAGTTGAAAATTGTTGGGATTTATTTTTTTCAAGAGATCATGTTTTTAGAGTGTCTTTTGCAGAGTTTTAAGTTGTCCTGCCTGAACTCTGCTTTGACCCCATGATGTGACCCCAATAGGATGGACTTGCCCCTCAGTGGCCTTCCGTGGCCCCTCCAGGGCCTTCCGTGGCCCACCCTTCCTCTGTGCCCCAGTGGGTGTCGCTGTCGAACTCGAAGGACAAATGAAGAAAACCGTGTTGCCGCAGACCTGCCAAGTCTGGGACGTTGCAGGGTGGAGCTTGCACGGGGACCTGCAGCCGCCTCTCTGAGCTCAGTGTTGTTCTAAGTTAATGTTTAACTCTGTCCCTTTCCCTCAGAAAGGTTTAACATGTGCTTGGAATGTGATTTTGCTCCCACTCGTAAGGAATTTTTATCACCAAAATGAATGTTAATGAATTTTAAACCCATGGTTTATCATTGGCAAGAGGCAAGGTGACTTCATCCCGGCGTTCCCACAGCCTGGCATCTCGGGCGGCCAGGCCGCCTCCCGGCCCAGCTTAGAGCCCGGTACCCGCCTCCCCGTCCGCTCTTGTTGGCCCGAGATGCTGCTACATGGATGCCAAACGGAAACCTTCCACGGGGCTGCTGAGTAGACACGGGTGTGGTGTGCAGGCTCCTCCCACCCGCTGCGTGTAGTTGCCAGGAAGGAGTTGGACCTTCCAGCTGTGCTCTGTGCTCCACACCCAGAAGGCGTTTCTAAGCCCGTATGTTTAAAGGAGGGTACTTCAGGGATTGCCAGCCCCTGCCCCTTTCCAGGGAGCCAACTGTCCCTCGTCCCGTGTCCCCGGGCCCGCGGGGCCCGGTCGTGGCTGTGTCCCTGCCCGAGGACCTGTGCCTCCCGCCTCAGGCGTGGCCCACGCAGAGGCCGCCTGTACAGCCAGGGCCAGTTTGGCCCCGAACAGGGATTCAGAAACCAAATGTGTGCGTGGCCATTTCATGTGTCTGTCTTATTTTAATACCAAATTCATCACATGCAGTGAAATTAATGTCAGGAGGTGTTACTTGAGTGACTCAGTTAACGATCTTATCTGTGTTTTAAGTGTTAGCCCGAGGGGTCTGTGCATTTTGTTGGCAACATTCATGCACTGAAGTGAATTCCTACTGACTGGCTTTCTTATAGAAGTGTCTGTCCACGCTGCCTCCAGCCTCTAGCCACGAAGAGAGCATTGTCTCCATGGCCCCGTTTTCTCCTCCCCCCTCAAGGTAGGGCTGCCCCAGTGGCTCTGTGGGAGGGAGCTGCGCTGGGGGAATAACCAGCAACATGCTGGCTTGCCTTCGGGCCAGCAGTGTGGTGTCTCCGGGGCCATATGCACAGTTGGCGAGTATTTCCTCTGGTTTCAGTCTTGGAGTGTCTTCCTCATTCAGTGCCAAGCCATAGTGAGGGACGCGCTGGCCTCACCTTGTGGTAGAGGGTCTCGGGGTCACCCCCTGAAGGGGCTTTGTGGCCTGCTGCTGGCCCCAACCTGCCACCATGGGATGGAGCCCTGCACCATGCGGGGGGGCGGGGGGAGTGTCTTTGATCTGAGTTTAAATCTTTCTCAAGATGCATCTAGCTGAGCACAACCCCAGTATGATGGGAGTTGGGACTATGTGTAGGGTGTGCAGACGGGAGTGTTCCCTGAAGTGGGACCTGGGCCTTGCTGGGGCAGAAGGCTTCTCCCCAACAGCCATGCCACTCTTGGCCCGGTCAGCACTGGCCTTCCCTATGGTCTGGGGAGCCCAACCGAGGATCCTGGTGCATCCGCCTCTCCTGGCCGACCTGCTTCTCCACAGTCCGTCTCGGGGCGCCTTGCCACAACTGGAAGGAACTCTGCAGCCAGTTACTGTGTGGGGTCTTTTCAGGGCGCCCCCCCCCCCACCCCCCCGTTCCTTTTACAAATCCTAAAGCTCAGTGAGAGTCCAGGTCGAGGGAAAGGATCGATTCCAGCTGCTGCCTCCTTGACTTCAGAGAGAAACGGAACTTTCTAATCTCTTACCTGTTCAGCATGTGGCTCTCTGTCTGCTCTGTAAAGGAGCTGGCAGGGGTGGCTTTGCACGGGGGCTCCCAGAGGACAGAAGTTTAACCTCCAAGTTTGTATGTTTCTATAAACCACTCTTTACCTTTGACTGTTCACACCGTTTTATAACAACAGAGAATAAAAAGTAATTCTTGTCTGGCCCCGAGAGGCACGAAGGTTAACATTTGGCTATACATCTGCTTTGGGGAATGTCAAGACCCTTCAGATCACAATGTGAGCCACCAGATTTCTTTTCCAGGCCCCTCCCCTGGGAACTGACTTCAGGCTGCGGAAGGAGATACGCTTGCTCACTGCTTCTCGGGGCAGCAGGAGAATGATTCTGGCTCAGAAGGTCTGTACAGTTCCTGTCTGTAAAGTAAACTGGAGTCGGGCAGAGAAAGTTCAGATCTCGATGTGCAGTGGCCAGTCCTTAGCACCATGTGGCTCGTCCTCTCCTGGGGCTGCTGGCTTTGTAAGCATGGAGGGGAGGGCTGTGTGGCAGATGCAAGTCCTGGGGTCCTGAATTCTGTTGAAGCCCTTGTTGGACCCAGGGCCTCCCCCTCCATGGCCTCTGTGGCCCCTGCTGTGGAACCTCTTCCTGCGCAGCCTCCCTGGTATCCTAAAGGTTCAAATGGAACTGGATTGAGGATCCAAATGTTCCCAGGACTGTTGGCTTTCTTTTTATAAATGAAAGTGGCTTTTTACCTACTGCCTTAGAGGTTCTCGCCCTTTATTTCCCTGTTTTATATCATCAGGAAAGTCCAAAATCATGTACTTAAACTCTTAGAAAAACAAATCCTTAAGATTTGTTCCTGGATATTGGGTGCTAATCAACTAGTGTACGCCTCGATTCTTGCAGAGTTTGAATTTGCAGGGGCACCCCATTCAGCCCTGTTCCTCCCTCCCTCACCTCACTTCCCAAAGGTAGCTCAGTGCCCGTGCTGGGCTTCCCCAGGTGGAAGGGAGCAGGGCATCTCACTATTTTCTACTGTTATTTCAAGGAACTTGTGTACAAATGTTGAATGCAGAACTCCACACCATCAGTATGAAACACTTACTGCGAACATCTTTACCTGAGCTCTACCAGGGCCATACGACTAAAGGACCAGCTTTATCAAGTCTAGGAAAATAGATAAAAGTAGAAATGCATTTTCCATAGACAGTGAAGCAACAGGTATTTAGGCCAAGCAGGGACCATGAACTTCTGCCCTCGAATTCTCAGGTTGAGAAGCAGACCTAAGTAGGCCATGGCTGATTGAGCCTGTGTCCTGGCTGGTCAGAAACAAAAACAAACAAACAAAAAAACCCCAACCCTGTCATCTTCTGAAAGCCAGCCAGGGATCTGTGACTATCTTCCCTATTTCTGGGCCAGGAGACCAAGATGCCTCCAGTGTTCCCAGGGGTGACCCCAGGCAGAGGCCTGACCTAGGCTGGCACAGGGTGGTGTTCACCTTGTTCCCTGGCATTTTAAGCAAGAGGCCGCCAGGGAGAGTTGGCTTGGTGCCATCACATGACCCAAGCTCCCTGTTGGCAGGGGCCAAGGGGACAGCTCCCCTGGCTTCTCTCTCAGGGGCGAGGACCCCCAGGCGGAGCGGCAGTGCAGGCATGAGGCTTCCTCGGTGCTCTTTCCTGTGGAGGACACAGGCTCTTGTCCGGGGTCAGGTTTCGTTCCATTCTGTTCTGGGTGGGTTGTAGGTTAGCCCAGAATTAGGAGGGACTTGGTTCAGTATGAAAGTGATGTGGGGATTCAGAAACCTTTCTGGTGTAAATGTATCGTGGGCAACCTACTCCGTTCTTGTAACTCAGGGCCACTTGCTGATCTTCATCTTCTCATCTCTCTGTTGTATTCACGTGGGCTGATAGGAGAGGTTCGCTGTCTCCGTTTGGGGTGTTGGTGGCACCCGGCTTGCTGGTTACCATCCCATGAAGGCTGACGGGGGCCTTCATTCCTGCTGCAGCCAATGCTTTCTTGCTGGTTTTCGTCTATCCTGTCTGGTCAGCCCTGAGGGCAGCAGGGAGGAGATGGAGTTCATGGCAACTGCAGAGCTTGGAGCAGCTCTTCTCCCACAATCCTGGGCTGGGACCTTCTTTGCTTCTTAGATCTTTGTGGGTGGCTCAGCTCCAGTAAGCTCTCTCTCGGGATGTGCCAGCCACTGACATCATCTCACTAGAATTGTCTTAAATATCTTTTGATGGGAAATACCAGGCTGTTCTTGATGCAACATGAAAATGAAGGTTCTAGTGGCACGAGAGTAAAGTTCTAGGCATTTGTATGCCAAGGTGCCTGTGTACACAGAGCCGGCATGTACTATAAGACTGAGTGAAGACACGTTTTCGATTTTTAACACCTAGGAGCATTTTAAACATGACCAAACTGGAAGAATGACGGGAGCACTGTCTTGCCTCATTTGGCAGGCCAGCTCCTGGCATTTGCCCACCCACATCTGACTGACGTGGATTCACTAGAAAGGGATTCTTTTGGAGCCAGACTCCTCTTCAGACTCACCCTGGAGAGGACTCAGATGGACCTGGGGGGCTTGGGTGCCTCTGTGTGGAGACCCAGCCTCTTGGATAGAAACAGCTAGTCTCAGGCCTCCAGAGCAGAAAGGAGTGGGGAGAGTAAGGCCTCAGGACTCACTCTGCAGAGAGCCTGGCCTAGCTTCATTCATCACCGCCGTGTCTGAAGTCTACTGTGAAGGTAGAGTGTATCAGTCCATTGACCTTTCTTGTTTCTGGAGTCCTTTAATTCCACAAATGTATATGCTTTGTTTTATATTATTTATTATGTACATATTCCTCTACTGTTAGTACATCGTCTGTGACTAAGCTGAGATCTGTTCTGGAGCCCCTGACCCAGAGTTCTGTTGTCCCTTCAAGTGGGCGAGAAGGCAGCAGTTTTGTTTGTTTTGTCTTAAATAGGTTGCTGCTCTTATGTTGGTCCTAGTGTCCCCGGCCCCTTTTACTGGGACCTCTATTCCTATGACCAGTGTCTGGGATGAGGGTGGAGGCAGGTTTCTCACCCGTGGCAGGGCCTCTCGGGTACCTCTGTGAAATACTTGAGGTGGTTTCCTAGTTACTAGTTCTATTCTCTAGTAGCATAGCTGTGAGATCAGAGCCTCCTCCCTCCCTCCCTTCAAAGCCAGGGCGGTGGCCTAGCCCTACAACAGTAATGGCCTCTTAATTCCCACCCTTGGATTATAGAATTCATCTCTCTGGAGCCTGCCCATCAGGGCTTCTAGTATGCCTTTTCTTGGTTTTGAGGCCCAATGCCGACATTGCCTTGGCCCTCAAATAAGACCCTGCTTTGTGTGTGATTTTCATCCTCCTCAGCCTTTACTCACTGTGTCATAGTGCACATTTCATGCTTTGCAGCAGTGAAGTTTTCTGAACACAGTGTTCAGAGCTGTGTACGTAAACCTAAAGCACAAGTGACGTGTAGGTTTCATGAGCTGATTGTCATAATGAATGCATTTTATAATTCAAATGATGTTGTAGATTTACAATCGCTCCTATTTATTTTGTACCAATTTATTTGTAAATTTTGTGATTGTTTTAAAAGGTTTTTGTTCATTTCTATTCTATTTAGATAAATGATTTTCTTTTCACCCTTATAGCAGGTGTGTGTTCCCTCTTTCCCCTTTCATCTATGCAACACCAGCCTGGGTCCCCTGCCCAATTGCTTGACTTTACTGGTGGGAAAGTTGGAAATTGTTGTCAGCATGGTAACACAGCAGGGCATTTCCTTCAAACATATATCACAAAGTCACGTGTTAAAAGTGGGTGCTAGAACCAAGTTCCAACATACAGCCTGGTACAGCCAATTCCGGGAGGGTGTCCCTTTGCAAGGATTGTAATCTGTCCCCCGTCAGTTTATTTTAGACACTAAGTGTATCCAAATTTTCCCCAGAAATTTGGTGCTCAGTCACTAATAACACGGCTATCTGGGCAACTCTCTAAGCTGTTTTTTCCTAGGCAAGACTGAAGGCCTCATCCAAGCCTCTCGATTGGCTCTCGAAGATGAAACCCACGGTGCCCCCCCCCCCCCCCCCCCACACACACACACGAAGCCTAGGTCGGAGAGAGGCTGCGCAGGCTGAGAGTTAATGCCAGCGCCAGTGTGGTGAGTCGTGCTGATGCTCTTCAGGATTCAGGCCTCCGCAGCCCCTCCGTGACCATTTCTAGACCACCTTTTTAAAATCCCTTTTTCCTCCACTCTGAGAATTGAACCTCTGGATCTCTGGCCCCTTATTTTTCCCACCGTTATTATTTGATATTTGTGGTCTGTTTTACTTATTTTATCCTGTGGATGAAGACATTTCGGTGAAGTGCTGACAAGACTGGCTTGACATTGCCTGACCTAACCACCATCCCTCCTCCCCAATCATTATCCCCTTTCTTCAAAGTAGAAGGTAGATCTGTATTCCAGTGAAGTGTTACCTTCTTGGGAGCCTTTTTGTTTTTAGAAGCAGGGCTGGAAGCAAGCAGGGCCAGGGAAGGAATCCTCTCTCCAGCACATCCACACCGGGTTACTGCTTAGTTTTTCCTGCTTTACTCAGTTGTCTAGATGAGTGCTCCAAGGAAAACAGAGGTGATAGGATTTGCCTAAGCTTTCTGTCTGCATCCATGTGCCCATGTGCTAGTTCATTTCTAAGCTTTACTGTGAAAAAAGCTCTGAGGTTTCAATTTCATTTAACGCATTGCCTTCTCTGGGCGTCTTCTCAGGTCAGCATTTGTAGGGGAAGAGAGTGTATAAACTGAATGACCTTTTCATAGCTTGGAGTTGATTTCTGAAAACTTATTTGATACTTTCTGAAGGTAATTCCATTTAATACAGATGATTCCTTATTAAAGTCTAAAGTTGAATTATATTAGTGAGTAAACTTTTGCTGTCTTTTTTTTTTAAAATATATTTTATTGATTTTTCACAGAGAGGAAGGGAGAGAGATAGTTAGAAACATCGATGAGAGAGAAACATCGATCAGCTGCCTCCTGCACACCCCCTACTGGGGATGTGCCCGCAACCCCTTGACCGGAATCGAACCTGGGACCTTTCAGTCCGCAGGCCGACGCTCTATCCACTGAGCCAAACCGGTTTCGGCAACTTTTGCTGTCTTTATATAACTTTCATTTCCCCTCCAAGATCCTCATATCTGAGCTCTTATTTTCAACGAAGTCTCAGAACAAAGGAATGATTACATGGCCCTTTCTCTGGGACAGGCCATCTCCCTGGTGGATGATTATAAGGCCTAAGGATACCGGGGACTAGCTGCCAGGATTTGTTGTTACAGTGCTTTCCTGCCAGGGTGCAGTGACTGTGAAGCACTCTAGGCCAACCCAAGGCAGGAATTTTTACTCCTCACCTGGGGATATTTTTCCATTGATTTTTGGAGAGAGTGGAAGAGAGGGAAAGACAGAAAGATCCATGTGAGAGAAACACATTAATTTGTTGCCTCCTGCACGCGCCCTGACTAGGGCCCGGGCCGGGGAGGAGCCCATAACCAGGGTACGTGCGCCCCTGACTGGAATCGAACCTGGGACCCTCCGGTCCACAGGCCAACACTCTATCCACTGAGCCAAACCAGCTAGGACACAGGCAGAAATTTAGATTGCGCCAGCTCCCCTACCACTGTTCTGCTACATCAGTGATTTGAGGGCAATGGGCCAAACATGAAGCTACTTGCTTCAAGAATACCCACCCCCACAAGTCAAAGGTGACCTTTGGTGAGAATCCTCTCTCAAAGAGACTAGACATGTAATGAACATTTTTCTATGTTGGGAAGGACTGATTGGCAAACCGTCTTTCCCAGGATCTCAGGGACTTGAGAGGACTTTCTCTTTCATGGGAAGAACATGCACTTGTCTGCTTAGGCGCTTGTGTGTGGGGGGGCTTATCTTGGCCCAGACTCTCCAGGCCCTGTCTACAGCCCTGGCTAGACATGACTTTGGGGAGAGGGGAGCTCAGCTCAAAGGGAGAGCAAGCATTTGGGAACATAATTTTACCTTTAGTTCATAAAGCAATCTAATACACTTTTTTTCTAGTGATAAAATGGAGCAAAAATATAATTTCTGTGTTAAGAAACAAACACTGGTCATCTGTTTTAAGTTGGAAAATATAGATTACTGAGACTTACAGTACCAGAGTGAGCAAACTTGAGATGAAGTGTTCTGTTTAATTGGGAGTACTTCTTGTGTTAAAACTCTTCAAAGGGACTTAACTATTGTGTATATTTTATTTTTGAAGTTACATACCTTTGTTGGAACAAGTCTGATGGTTATGGCCCTGGAATGAAGATACTGTGTCTGAGGACAGGGAAAAATGGTTGAGGTAACCAGGTTAGGTAGAAAAGTTGCACTGTTCATTCCTAAAGAGGGCATTTTCTTTTTTGATGTGCTTTCTGCTACTTCTACATACTCGGCAGTAAGAGCAGTGTGGAATGCCGCTCCTGTTAGTGGAGCTGGAAGGTGGGATGCGGGATCACTGTGCCGCCTGCCTCTGCTTCCTGGTTGCTGTGCGTGTGCGTCCTCCACGTGTTGGTAGTAGTGCAGTTTTTCTTATATTTTCAAGGGTGCTTAGGTAGCTCCATGGTAAAGAATTCATTCTCAGGGCCTCCTAAAGTTATGTGTCATTTAAAATTGTTCCATTAGAGGAAAACCATTTAAGAGCTCTGTGCTCTAGTCACCAAGAAAGAATGTCATGAGAAACCTAAGTATTGAGACATAAACTACTAAACCAAGTGAGGAATTGGGCCAGTAACGTATGGCAACAGCTAGGTCATAGTTACCATTTTTCCCACCACCAAAGAAAGATGAAATAGTTTCCATAACATGGAATGTGGACAAGGCTCTATCCTTAATGCAGACTTAGATATGCAGTTGTTCGTCTCAGGCTATTTGTGGTGAATACGCATAGTATTTTTAAATGCTCTTGGCAGTCTTGGAAAAATTTCAGGACTTTAAACTTGTTGACAAAATAGTTATTAAATAAATCAGATTTAGAATTATCTAAACATGGACAAAGTACTTTTAAGTCTGACATGTCACTGCAAGTGGCTTTATAGTGGTTGCTTAAAAACAATACTTAACATGAGTAGCTCTAAGTTATTCTAGTTCTAGTAAGAATCACTTCTAAAAGCATCTTATAAAGGGTAGCTTGAGGACTTGCTTTCTTATTTTAAGAGCAATGCATATGGTAGAACATCTAAGGTCTAAACGGAACACTAACATTCTCGGCTTTAACGGACTTTTCTGAAATATACCATCTGAGCTTTAATTGACCATCTTTGTAGAGGAAACCCAGTAGGGCTGGGCTCTGCTGTGCCCAACGAGCTGCTGGGTGAGTGCCAGGGCCCCCGTTAGCCTGTACCTGCCCCCGAAGTAGTATGTGGCACGTTTACAAAGCCTGAACGTAAGAGGTGTTTTTCAAATACCCAGGAAAGACGTTCTGAAGAGTTGGGAGATCAGTCTAAAACACCTCAGGTTTCAAAAACGGTAGGTGGGGGAATATGTGTTTTAAATTCAGCTTCCTTTAACTATTGCCAAGAGCCACTCCCATTCATGTTTTAGTAAGCCCAATTGCAGCTGCCTGCCCATGGATCACTCATTCCCCAGTACACGCTGCTCTGGATCTTAGACTTTTATGGAATCTGAGCTCTTTAAAATACATTTTGGTGGTCCTTAAGTTGTAACCATCAGTGGAATTCTTACTTATTCCAATTGTGTTTTTCACTTCTCAGTCTTTGGACCTACTGCCAGAGAGACATCTGACTAAAAAGAGTCTATTACATAGATAAGATCTTACGTGGACAATACAGAAAGTGTGGTAAATTAACGTGAACTGCTCATGTTGGTCCTTGCTGTAAAAGGGAAGGTATGTCAATTTACTATTATAAGTGAGCTCTATAGTTACAATGACTCACTTAGAAATTCTTTGGCTTTGCGAAAATTTAAGACCATGTGTAAACTGGGCAACATCTCTATTTTAAGTGAGAATAATTAATAACTGGGTGACCATATGCACATTCTCTAAAATTTAAAGCAAGACAGTATCTAATTGCTATTTGAATACCATTTCTAACATACTTTGAAAGTAGTATATATTCCTGATACGTTAGAATGTATGTTTCTTGACATGACAGTGTAAAGCCACAAATATTGAAAGCAGTGAGGCAATATGGCCTTAGCTAAATTACTGTGTTCCCTACTATATGATTGCAAAAAAAGCCTTACTTCATAGTCCTGTACCAAAAAAATTTTCCATGAGAAAATTGAGGCCTATTTACATGCTATAATTTTAACCATTAACCATGCTAGACTATATTTTAGGAGAGAGTGTCAAATTGATGTTACTAAGCTAAACCTAAACCCAACAGCTATTATTACACCTGTGCTACACAAGAGGTCCAAGTCAGTATTAGAAATATTATACTTTATTGAGTTCTAGAGCAACTAATCTACCCTCCCATGTTGACCAACGACGTAAGAATGAAAGAAATATATGAAGGATAAAGTAAGAGTCTATACCACTGTACTGGGAGGTAGTTATAATACCCCCTCCCTAGTGTATACAGTAATGATCCATTCTTGTTCAAGACAACAAGAAGTGATGTTTGGGATTCTGAAGTGAATTCATTCACACTGATTGTGCCCTCTGCTTTAGTAGAGTTTTGGCTTACAGAGCCCACGTTCTATCTTCTACTGCTTGACATTGAAACTCAGCTCCAGAGGGGAGAGAGAGCTGGAAGTCGGTAGCACAAGCCACACGATATAGACCACACCAGTGAATTTTACTCAGTTATGCTGTAATATAAGAAAGTTCCTCCTTTTCTTTTGGGGGGCTTGTTCCTTTGTCCTCTTTGAGCTAAATTCTTTCTACAGATTTGTCCCAGATGAGAAGATTGTTTTTTGAAATAACAAAAAAAACTTATCAATCATAGAACTGTAGAAATAGACGAAGACTTTTGCCTCAAAATGAAATTGCTGCAGTCCATTCCAGATCAGCCCTACAGCAAGCAGAGAACACAAGGAACCTTGACCTTAACAGAAGGCTACATTTGATCCTGGAAACAATGTATTTCTCCACTGGTATACAATACTATGTAATGCACTGAAAAAGATGGATTTTGGAGTAAGAGCACAATTTGTAACATAACAGCTGTTTTAGATCACCTCTTTCCATCATCTTCCTTGTTCCTCTCTGACACTTAACAGACTGATGATGAAACAAGACAAGGAAACAGTGTCACAAGCCACAATGGAGCCATCTTCATGCAATTCAGCCCAGTTTTTACCCTTCCTTTTTTCCAATACAGACTCCATTACAATTTTAAACCATCTGTAAAGACTGTAGACACACAAAACTAAAACAATTATCTTAAGGTCTTCAGAACCTTTTCATGGAGTACCCCCCCACCCCCCCCCACTAGGACCCAAGCAGGGACATGGTATGCTCCTATGAGTCCTGCCAGAACTTGTTTAATGGTTGTTCAGAGTTTTTGTTTTCTTTCTTATTCTTCCTCTTCCTCCTCTTCATCATCATCTTCATCATGGCAGTGTGTAATTTCCTGGGGGGCCAGTGGGAATAGGTTGGGGGGTTTAATCTCACTAATCGATCGTGTCAACTGGTGCCGCTTGTAATCAGTATCTTTGAAATCCACTGAAGTACGGTTCCGGGTGGCAAGTGGAGACTCCATCTCATTGATATCTACATGTGTGTGTTCCACCGTTGATTCGTGAGGCATCTAGAACAAAGTCAGAGGTTCAGAAAGCAGGTGGAGCTATTTCCCAAATCCTAACCCCTCTAGTTCAAAGATGCTTTAATTATTCTATCACAATTCCCGTAAATGCACTGAATCATTAAGAACATTAAAACATGCACGGTCTTTCTTTTGATTGTTACTTGAAAACTTTTCCACTCCCAACACTGCTCCACCATGTTGGTGCAGAAAGAGTATGTCCATTTCCACAGGCTCCAGACATCTGAGTGCCATCAATCGGTCAGGTAATATTAAACAGGCTGCCAGGTTGGGTTTTCTACAGCGTATGACTGCCCAGGTTTATCACACAAGTGTAAAGTATGAAATGACCCAACAGCAAATGATTTGGGAGCCCAGGCAACTATAACTATCCCATAGCTTATATTTACAGTATTCATCAGCAGATAAATCACTGAGTTCCAATCTACTTCTAAAATGTCATGAGCAGCTGCTTGCCTCCTGTGTAAAGAGCCTTTTCTGAACCACAGCCCCACGCTACTGAATACACTGATCTTAGCAGTACAGTTTTTGATGATTTTTTGTCCATCTTCCTAAAAGTACTGTTCCACAGTGAGCTGCTACACTTTTCCCCACTCTTCCTACCTTAGAAATCAGATGAACTCAAAGCCTTCTGCTTGAGTTTGTTTCTTTAAGCTTTCCTATTTGACTTATTTCACTGGTTAAAAACAATACTTAGTAGTGGTCTAGACTACACAGCTTATTCTTCCTTGATCCTCTAGTTCTTATTTTAAAGTATCTTCAGTCTCATGTTTATACTTTCCAGCAAAAATTTTAAATGCTACTTTGATTGTATTCACTTAAGTTCCAGGAAAGTGGTGGCAATTTCTCTCACGGACCTGGGAAGCCTCCCGAGCTCCCTAAGAGCTCCTCTCCTCTCCCTCTTTAGGTGGCCATGCAGAGATGTCGATCATGGACCAGAGGTCAACCCAGTGTAGGTACTGAAGTGTCTTCCTGGTACTCCCTAAAGCCACCTACTCTCTTCTTTCTCCTCAACCCTCAAAACTGTGCCTAGATCATTTACTATAGCCTGAAACTGGGTAAAATGAGAGAAGAGATCCTTATTTCCTTTCTCACAGCAAAAGCAGTCCTGAAACATAGTTCAGTATCAGAGCATAAGAATATAAAAACCACATTTCTCATTTAGTGCAACCTACCCTTGGTCTCTGCACATTAGAAAGGAATAATCCAAACTTCTCCGGTGTCATCCCACAAAGGTAGTTACAGATCTCTGCCTTAAAAGTATATTAACTAAACAGTAGCTTACAGCTGCATTAACTCACCAAGACGTGGGCAGCTCTGAAGAGGTAGCTGAATGGGTAATACAGCAGGTTGATGAAAGATGCGGCATAGAGATCAGCATAACGCATCACCTGACTGGCAAAGAGGGTCTGCCGGGAGCCACTGCGAAACAAGCTTCCCATCATCCCATAGCACATGTCCATGTCATGAGTTACTTTCTAAATCAAAGAATAAGACTGTCAGCTCATTCAAAAAATACCTGTGCACTGGCTCTGTGCCAGTCCCTGTATAAAATGAGAAATATGAAAATAACAAACTTTATTTTGCAAGTTTTCTCTCAAATCCCATTTGGATACCTTAATACGTCTCTGGATGGAGCTAATGTCTGGGCGCTCATTGCTGCTGCTGTCAAGGTGCCTGGAGACAAACGAGAAGGCCAGTGAAAATCTCTAGAACAGACATCTCTCATACCTAGGGGACTCCCAAAAAGGTAGGTAAGTTTTAGGGAAAAAGGAAAACATTTTAGAATTAGGGAAAAAACTTACTTGTAAAGTTCAGCCAAGAAAATATCCAAGCTCTGAAGCTCTTCAAAAAGTGCTTGTTATGGTTTGGAAGGAAAAGGAAAATATTTTAAATAAAATAAAAAGCATCCAGTTTTTAATTATTGCTGAAACTACATTTAAAAAGGTTGCAGATATGACTGAAAAGTAAAGTGAGAGGTGAGTGTATAAAATAACTTCCCGGGCCCCTTCAGGAAAACCCACGGCTACGCTGCCTGCAGTCTGGTAGCAGATGAACATCAGTATTTCCTAGGCCTTTCTTCTACCGAATCACTGCTGACCACAACTCTTCCAACTGGATGCTGAGTCTAAGCTTACCAAGTGCCAATTCATACCCCACCTCAGGTGTCAGCAAAGCAAGTCTTAACAGAGAATGAGACGACTTGTCCATAGTTACAAGTCTAGGAAACAAGGCCAAGCCCACTAGATTTCTAAAACTTCCTAGGTGGGGAGCTGAAAATGTGGGTGAAAGGCTAGCAGAAAATTCCACTGATAAGTACAAACAATACCAACCAACAGCCAGCACCTGCTGCATGCTGCCTCTGTGTTCCAGCTTTTCTCCACCTGGGTTCCCCAAAGAGAATTAAGCCTTAATGTAATAATTGTATAGAACAAATTTTCTTTATCTGCCATCTTTGGGAAAATGGAGTCATTTTCTCTGTTCTCTGTTTCAGATGAGGAGCCCTGGTTGAGAAGGGTTGCTACTTGTATCTTCTTTATACACACCTTACCTCAGTTGAGCCTCATCAGCTTTATGAGGTAGGTATTACTACCCACATTTTCACACTTGAGGAAAGGAAGGGAGAGGGTGTCTCAGTGACTTGCCTAAGGGCATGCAGGCATTACCTTTACCTAAATCCACAGCATAGCTCAGTTCAGAGAATGGAATTTGGCCCCAATCTCTACTTCTCAGAAGAGCAAATAAATATCAGGAGGTGATTAACACTCAGAGCAATCAATGCCCCAGAGTCGCAGACATGAGCTGGTAGCAGAGAGACTGGAACTAGTAGCATGGTTGGACAAACGGGGACTACAGAGCAGAGTGGAGTTCCCACATTAGCTGCTATTGTAATAGAACTCAGGGAATAACATTTTATACTTAAAATTGAAAGGATTCAAGAAGAAAGCTGAACAAAATAACCTCTCTTATTTCCTCCAATTCTGGACTTCTGTGAAATACTGGGCTGTCTGGGAAAGAGTTATGCAAATATCAGGGCCCATCTTTTGGACCCCCTGCATACAAAGTAGTGGTTCACAGCTGGCCATTTTATATAAACTATATCAAAGATTTATAAGATAAGAAATGGCTCCTTACAACTCTTATCAGTCCAGACATGAAGCTCCTGTGCAAGTTCAGGAATCACCAAGAAAGTTCGCCACCCTTGCCGTTTCTTTGATTTCAAAATGTCCCCAAAAATGTGATCTCCAATATACAAAATGTCCTTGCCCTTGGCTCCCAACAGATCACAGATTGTATCAGATGAACCTGAAACAATAAACAAAAAAATGTCCCCATATTAAAAAAGAAAACAGCATTCTCAGTACATAATGATTAAATACTGTGATTTTTTTTCTTACAATTATGTGAGGAACACACTAGAAAAAGGGCTCACCTTCCTTAAAGTCAAAGACCCACAATTTATCTTTCTCATTTTTTTAAATTGCCTCCTACATGTCTCAGCATTAGTATTGACTATAACTCTCAAAAGTACCACCTCTTTTTCTCATCTTAGATCTGCTATTAAGTTTATCACTCCAACATAATATGTATTTGTGTCCATAGGGGCTCCTTGAGGACTACCCCCAAATGATTCCAAGACACTGAGAAAAAGCCTCAAATAAGTAAAAGAAAGATTGGGTGAAAAATCAAAGATTCATTAGAACATACTAACAACTTCTCAAACCCATTCTCCCTGACTCCTATTGCATTAGTAGAGGACTGAAGTATTTACTTTCAGTAGATGACATCTTCAGGGAACATGTGCCATTATGCTAGGAGGACATCAATGCTTTCAGGGTGAGGTCTGAGCAGAGACGCACACTAAAGGGAACTCACCTCCTGAGTAGACAATACCATGTTGTAAGGGGCCTGTGTAGGTACCAATTTTCAGCTTGCCAGTTTTCTGTGAGAAGAGAATATGGACTTTGTAATACTTTATCATTCTGTCATAATCTCAATCCAAAAGGCTACTTGGCTAGACAAACAAATGAAAGACACTTTTAAATTATTCGGCTAACTCAATTAAAACCAAGTCTTAGAATAATTTCAAAAGAGAGATACAGCTAAGTAGATAAAAATACCTGTTTCCTTAGGGGGAGAGGGAGTGGGGAAAGGAGAAACACGAAGGACAATGTGCAGACAGAACATCCTCTCAACTTACAGTATCCACCTGACGCAGTACTGTGCCTTCTCCAAAAAAGAGTGGTTTCCGTGCATCCACCAAGATCAGGTCAAAGTAGGACTGCCATGGTCGATGGGAGCTCCCAGGCTGATGAAGCAGGAACAGCAGAAGCTGAAACATCGCTCCTACCCTTAAGGCACTAATATTTAATCTCACTCAGATGCAAAGAATGTAGAAATACTAAGTATAAGCAGAAGATCCCACTGTTTTATTAAAAACGTTGTGTCTTATAAGCCATATCCTTTTGGAAGCAGGCAAGGTGAAAATATAAGTGAACGACTAATAATCTCTACATTTTAAATCATTTCATCTACTTATTATTTCACAGAAATTTAATATATGTAAATGTGCTCACACTCAAAAGGAGGCTCAAGGGGGCTAAAAAGAGATGCAGATCAATACCCAAGAGACAAATTAAGGGAGAGGCAGATAAGTCTTGGGACTGAAGTATACGAGCTGGCATGGAACTATTAGGAAATTTTACTGGGTATGACTTCAGAATGATGGCTCGAGGTGCACACTGGCAAAGGCCAACCTACTGCAGGCCAACCACAGCACTAATGTAAAAGTTATGCCCATCAACATGATTTCCATCCTGAAACAACCTTTTAAGGTCAAGCTGAAGAGCACTGCCTTTGGGTGATCTCAAAATAGGGATTTACTGATATTTATTTTTTTAAAAGCCTAGAATTAAAATAGCACGGCACAAGTATATGATTAACTTGCCATGAAGAGTCCTTAAATCTAAGTGCAGCCATACTGCAGAAATAAAGACACCTCTGCTTAAATATCAAGGCTAACTGTTCCCTTGGCACAAAACGCATCAATAAATAAGCAAAATCTAAAAGTTGTCAAGAATATACACATTTTCTGTTTCTTTCAATCAGTTATCTTCCTCAACCTGAAAAACCCAAACTTAACTCTGCATAGAAGTTCTTGGGCATAAAATTACTCTGATACCATCCTACTAAATGCCATATGAGTACCTCTTTTATTTCTGTCTACTAAGTTTTCAAGTTGCTATCGACTTTAAATAATATACCAGCACCTGCATGACTTCTAATGTTAATGATTTCTGAATGGGTCCTGACCAATTCCTTAACATCAATATTCCAGGCTGATTAAATGCATTTATTATTACTAAAGCAATGGTCTAATAATTTACATATAGTACCTTGGGGCCATGTGGGAAATCAAACAGGTAAGTCATAATTTTCTGGGGGGAAAAAAACAAAACAGAAAAACACCAACATAAGGTCCATATACCACTTATACAAAAGATATAAAACACTATTAAAAAAACATACACAAGTTTTTCATCAAAATGTCTTTTTCAATATTGGATTTATCACGTTCTCATTTCCTCTAAAGTTTATGAAATCATGGCTATGAAAGCCAGAAATTAATGCTTCTCATAACAAACATACAGAAGCTTCTGACATTCTGAGTAGGGCATTATATTCTTCTAGGTCCGTGGTCGGCAAACCACGGCTTGCGAGCCACATGTGGCTCTTTGGCCCCTTGAGTGTGGCTCTTCCACAAAATACCACATGCGGGCGCACACGTACAGTGCGATTGAAACTTCATGGCCCAGGTGCAGAAGTCGGTATTTTGTGGAAGAGCCACACTCAAGGGGCCAAAGAGCCGCATGTGGCTCTCAAGCTGTGGTTTGCTGAGCCGCAGTTTGCCAACCACCGTTATAGGAAATAATTATGTACAGATTCATCCATATATCCCTACCTAATTCTAGTGGACTGAAACCCATTTTTGGAGGTAAGGGTCTTCTGAGGTAAGAGCACAGAGAAAATTAATGACTCACAGTCTTGCTTATTCCAAATCATCAGATTTCTAAGACAAGATTTTACATGAAGAATTGGGAAATACTGAGCTTTTTGCTAGTACCATGAACTTGTAACTGTCTTAGCAAAAGTAAGACGAGGAGTTAAATTGGCTATTCTATATGCTTTAATCTGGCAAAAAGCACTTAAGCAGTGGTAACTTCTGATGGCTAAAAATAAAAACATCTTCGCACCATCTATTGCTGTCGGCTCCAAACAACAGGAAGGAGGGCATGTGCTCATGTGCAATACAGGGAGTGAGTGACTTAAGTTTATATAAATGATGTGCCAAAGAGACATAGAAGCCATTTTGATCAGCACAAGTGTTTTGAATAACCCCCAAATTAAAACATTCAAGTAGCCTGTAATTAAGGGAAACAGTCAAAAGAAATATTTTAAAAAATTTGAGAATCACTGATGTAGCTCTTATGGTATATATTTTTGCTCTTTTCACTGCTTTTAAAATGAAGTGGCAAAAACTACCCTTAATAAACTATTATCTTCCTTGTTATCTTCAGTTCTTTAGGCCAAAATAATTCCTCTGTATAAACAAACAAATATGAATATTAAATACTTACATCTGTATATTTATAGTCACTATTGGTGGCAAGAAATACTTTCCCTACTTCCTTCATCCGGCTCAGAAGCAAAGGCAATTTTCCCTGAAATGTAATATAACGATGAGTGAAACAGTAAACCCAAATACATATTCATTTACTGTGGAACAGTCACATACTGGACTTCTGTCCACTGAAATAAGAACAGGGGATTCCCTTTAAGGGTTGGTTGGATGGCTTCAGATTGTTGCATTGAGAAAGACCACATTATCGATCACTATGCATAAATTAAGTATTAACATATATAACATACATGGTGCACTGTATATAATATATAAATTTTATATATAAAACTAGAGGCCCAGTACATGAAATTTGTGCACAGGTGGTGTCCCTAGGCCTGGCCAGCAATCAGGGCCATCTTGCCCAGTCCTGGCTGGGGCCTGCTGGATGGGGTGAGGGACTGTGGGAGGTTGGCTATGGGAGCGCACTGACCACCAGGGGCAGCTCCTGCCTTAAGCATCTGCCCCCTGGTGGTCAGTGCGCGTCATAGCGACTGGTCGAATGGTCATTACAGTCGCTAAGGCTTTTATATATAAAGAAGATAGATGATACATATAGATGATACATATAAATAATAATTATATGCTTCTTAAAAACATATCTCTATCTTCCCCATGTCTGCCTCAGGAAAGAGTTTAAATTACTTTGTAATCTTAGTATGTGAATTAGATATGTTAGGGATCAGGAGAAGCTGATTTTAAATAGCAAAATCCTCTACATGGAGACTTAGCTTCATTGTATATACTTTCCTTAAAAAAAAAACACGCCCTTACTGGTTTGGCTCAGTGGATAGAGCATCAGCCTGCGGACTCAAGGGTCCCAGGTTCGATTCCGGTCAAGGGCATGTACCTGGGTTGCGGGCACATCCCCAGTAGGGAGTGTGCAGGAGGCAGCTGATCGATGTTTCTCTCTCATTGATGTCTAACTCTCTATCCCTCTCCCTTCCTCTCTGTAAAAAATCAATAAAATATATTTAAAAACAACAACAACAACAAAAACACACCACCTTGTACAATTGAATGACATATGCAGGATACAATCTAGAAATGCCTAGACTCACCTACAGAAACTTAAGTTAATTCTAACTCCTCATAGCCAGAAAGAAAAGCAGATTTCCCTTCTCTCACAGTAAATAGGTACCTTTACTCAAGTTCTCCTGGACCTTTCCTGAACCCCTCAGCATTCTTTTTGAAACAAGGGTTAGGGTGGGAGTGGGGAGGAAACAGGAGGTACAAAGACTAAAAACAGTAAGTAATCTTTACCTAAAATACTTTTTGAGAAAATAATGCATTATGCTACTTTTCCTCTGTAAGAAAAAGAAGTGTGTGTGTTTACTTTTAATTTTGAAATAATTTCAGACAAAAGTTGTGAAAATAGTAGAGAACCCTATTCTTCATCCAGCTTCCCTTAATATTAACATTGTACATAACCACAGCACAATCACCAAAACTAAGAAATTAACATTAACACAGTACTATTAAATAAACTACAGATTTTTCTGAATTAGGTTCTCCTCTAATGTCTTTTTAGATATTTTTAAAGCTTTCCCTATTATTTCCTGTTGATAGGCTAAAGATAATTTAAATGAGTTACTTTGTACATTGTTTAGATGGTGTAGCACAGTGGCTATGATTTGGGTTACTACTTATTAGCTGTATGAACTTGGCCAAATTATTTAATCCCTTTATTCCTTAATTTCTTCATCAGTTCCTATACAACAGAGGTAACAATGCCTAATTCATGGCTATACAGAGTATTAAGCAGGATAATGCATGTAATCACTCACCCAGCACACTGATGTGCACACAGTAACCTCTATAGCTGCTATCACAATTAAAGCTATAAAAACAAATGGAATACTAGGTCTTCTTAATTATCAACAAGTAGGAAAAACTGTACTAAAATATATGCTCTGGCTGAAAACTCTTGGTAATTACACTTGGCATATATTATAACAAGGAAATACATACCTTCCCCTTGTGCATTTCATTATAAATAGACTTATTAATTTCCCTAATAGGTAAAATAAGCTATCATGTAGATTTCCCTTTATTACTTACATCTTTGACTACATACTTCTCAAGATTTTCAACTGTCTTTTCCTTAAGGGAGCCCTAGGGGGAAAAAAAAAGAAGTAAGAACAAAATCAGTCTTTAACAGTTTATAAGACAAATTATGTCTACTATCAACTGAGATGCATCATTTAAGTATTACCAAAATGGAAAAGCAGACACATTGGAGAAGACAGGATAAAGTAGCAGATGTGATTTGCTCCAACTCTACTTCCAAAATGTATTTAAAACATAAAATTATTTTTATTTTACCCTAGACATCAAAAACCATTTCATATTTTACTCGGGACAATTTATAGTAAATGTTAATATATTTGTTAACCTCTAGACTAGAGTGTCAGGGAGCGCGACTGAGCTCAACCTGTCTTTCCCCAAAACTGCCGGGAGCGCTACTGCACTCCTCCTGCAGTGTCACTATTAGATGCTAGTAGTTCACTCTTTATTGACAGATGGCACCTAAGTGCAGATTACTTAAGATGCCGAATATTTGTAGTTCTAAAATTGACCACTGGCATTTATCTGCCTAATTTTCATAATTTTTTTCCTAAATTGCTGTAAAATCAGTCAAGTATATGGGGGGGGGGGCGGGGGGAGGACCATAATTATCCTCATAGGATACAGCAAGTATAATATTAACACTAAAATCTCTTCTAAGTGTGAAATAAGATCTAGAAACCAAACACAATCTGAAAGCAGGACAATCAAGGACAAGAACAAAAGTATTAAAGTCTTATACAGTGGGGCCTTGACTTATGAGTGTCCCGACTAACGAGTTTTTCGAGATGCGAGCCATCTCTCGGCCGATTTTTTGCTTTAAGTTGCGAGCTAAAATTTGGGTTACGAGCCAGCTTCAGATACCCCACCGCTAGTTGGCGCAGCGAACGTCAGTGAACGCCACAACATCAACCCAGCATCATGTGTCTCACTCGTTCACTTTAAGATTTGACATACGAGTAATTTGAGTTACGAGCTCCGTCATGGAACAAATTAAACTCGTAAGTCAAGGCCCCACTGTAAAGAGCTATCACTAGGGGGCAAATCTGTTTTGTGAGGGTTTTTTTGTGTGTGTGTTGTTTTTTTTTAAAGAGGAAAAACTCGGTTCTATTTGCACCTAGAAAGTTAATGTGAGACAATATAAAACACACGCCAAGAGTGAGCAGGTAAAGCAGCAGCTCCTAGGTACCTTGTAATGAACCCAGTCAACAGCATCCCTTACATCCTGGAACATACTCCGGTAAGACATGAAGAGGTCCCCATCTTTAAATCCCGTTTCACAGCTACAGAGAGATGAAAAGAACATGACAGGGAATCCAAAGGAGGGTAAATAAAATATCACACATTACCCAGGGACCCAAAGGTTCCATTATCACATGGATAATGGCACTGGCTAATTAGGAAAATAATTACTCCCTAATGAAAATTCATCTGACCACCAGAGATGACTATAGTGTTCGATGGAATACAATAACTGTAAATAAATACAAAGTGATAGAATATACTGAGTGGAAGCTAAAAAGCCAGTTTCAAAAACATCAAGTTCCTTTATTAATCACTTTTAAGAAACAGGTTCCATCAAAAAAAATTTAAAACTTAAAGTTGGTAATTTAGGTTCTCTCTACCCTGACTTTTCTAACATCTCTAGATACAAAGGTATTGCATATTTTCTATTTAGCACTCTACCAAATTCAGTGCCTTGAAGTGAGTGGGTAAGGCCTAGAAAGGATAAGGAAGTTAGAAAACTCTAGCACATATAGCTGAACTTTCAGCAGTGGTTATGCAAATTCCTAAAAAGGAGAGGGTAACTTATTCAAGACGTAAGCAAAATTTTACATCAGGGAGGATAAACAGTATTTATTCCTCAATCAAATCTTGCTGGGCCTGGGAATGAAATTAAATTACCATCCTGAATGGCTCCTGGGTAGCTGCTGTGAAATGAGTAGGGGGGTTTTAGTGTAATTCTGCTTGACAGATAATCATCACACAAACCTCCCACTCAGTTGTCACAATTAGCACCTCTGCTGGCCGTCTTCATTCCCAGGAGAAGCCAATCAGAAGTGGTCCCTTCCAAACATGGCTGCAGCACACTGGCAAGAAGAGGGGCCGAGTGGGAGGTGAGAGCCTGCATGGAGCTGCTGGTGCCGTCCCATCTCTCAGGCTGGCAATGAGGCATCTCTCACTAGCACTAAATTCACTTCAGAAAAGCAGAAAAGACCTACAATGGCCAGTTCTCTAAAACCCTGTACATTAATTTAAAAAAAAATCAATTGGAAAAAAATTATAGCACATACATACCTGGTATATCTGGGACAATTAGTAAAAAAATCTACTAGGCAGGCCAACAGGTAGGTCTCTGAAAAATGAATAATAGATATTCATAAGTTTTAGGTGAGAAAATTCAAACTTATTTTATCTCCCTTGAGCAAAGACAAATAATCATGGAAAGAAGAGAAAGCATCAGTTATATAAGCATAGAATGAATCTACCTGGTAGGTTGAATAATGTATTCAGAATGTAAAATCTTTCAGTGTCATCTCGTTGGATAAATTTATTTGGATACTGCTCTCTAGTTTCTGGTCTGAAAGAAAAAAATTTAATTAACTGGTACTCAAAACTAACATTATAAAAACTATGAGAAATATTCATCATTCAAAAATCATTCAAGCCTGATCAGTGTAGCTCAGTGGTTGGTTCTCGGTCAGGGCACATCTCCTAGTTGGAGGTTCAATCTCCAGTGGGGGGCATGCAGGGAGGCAGCTGATCCATGATTCTTTCTCATCATTGAAGTTTCCCTCTCTTCTCTCTGTTCCTTTCTAAAGTTAATAAAAATTTAAAAATTCATTCAAATACTTATAAGGCAGACTTCCAAATATTACACATAAAGATGAACAAGCTCGGGTTGCAGCTCTAAAAAGTTTTCGATCTGGCCTTCGCTGGTGTGGCTCAGTTGGTTGGAGCATCGTCCTGTGCACTAAACAGCGGTTGCCAACTGGTGGTCTGCGGGTCCGTGAGTTCCAAAAGGTTGGCAACCCCTGGTTTAAGGAAACCTTTGGAGCAGCGGTAGCCAACTGGTGGTCCGTGAGGTCCGAAAGGTTGGCGACCGCTGCACTAGAAGGTCACAGGTTGGGTTCCCAGTCAAGGCACATACCTAGGTTGATCCCTGGTTGGGGCACGTACAGGAAGCAACCGATTGATGTACTAGTATCTCTCTCACACTGATGTATAACTTTCTCAAATGAGTATTTTCTCTCTCCTTTTTTCCCCTCTCTAAAATAAATTTCTAAAAAAGTTGTCAGTCTGTTAAGGGACATTTATAACAAGGTAAAAAATCACAAGAAAGGTGCAAAGAGCTATGAGAAAACTGAGGAAGGGGAGACCATTTCAACTTAAGGGACTGAGAAAAGTAAATGTGGGAGTGAGGAGAGAAAAATCTAGGAAGGATTCATGAAAGGGGTGGCATATGAGCTGATCCTTACAGGCTAGGCAGACCAACTTAGAAACTAGTCCCATTTGAGTAGAGAAGGGGGAGCAGAGAAAAATAAAACTAGAAAGATAAAATGAGGCAGATTATGCTATTGTTCTTAACTTCCTTCAAGTCCAGAGAGCCACTCACAGTGTTTAAGCAGAGGGATAAAATCAGCAGAGCTAAATTGTAAAAATATGAAATCAGTTAGTCTTAGGATAAAATGGGGGGAAAAATGTGCTATGTTGCAAAAATGGCTACAAATTCTTCCTATCTCTTTATAATATGACTTTGCAGTTCCTCCTACTATGAGACTCCTTGAACAGCAATAAATGAGATTCAAACAGACTTCGAAAACATTTGTGCATTAGGGCTTGCCTACTCTTGGAACTCTGAGACTACTATGTGAATGAGAGTGAGAATGCCTGCTGGATGATAAAAGGCTACATGCAGAAACAAGGCACCCCAGCCGATAGGCTGCCAACTGCCAGACATGTGAGTGAGGCTATTTCAGATAGAAAAATCATTCAAATAGTCTAATGGCTACATGTAAGGCAGACTTCCAAATATTACACAAGAAGATGAACAAGCTCAGGTTGCAGCCTAAAAGTTTTCAATCTGGCCCTGGCTGGTATGACTTGGTTGGAGCGTTGTCCTGTGCATCAGAAGGCCATGGGTTCAGTTCCTCAGATCAGCTGAGGAACCCCGGAATCATCCAGCTAACTCTCAGAATTTTGAGCTAAATAAAATGGTCATTGTTTAAGCTACTAAGTTCTGAAGTAATTTATTATGCAACAAAAGCTAACTGACACAGGAAGAACTATGAAATCAGTTAAGTGGTTATTAGAGTAGCCTAGATGAGAGCAGTAGGGGCTTATGATGGCAAAGGACATTAAAGGGAAGAATGTATTCAAGAGAGATTGTCGAAGTAAAATGAACAAGACCAGGCATCTGACTGGATGTGGTAGATGAGGGACATAAAAATCAAAGGTGATGTTCAAATAAATAAATTTTTAAAAAGTAAGAAAAAATAAGACAACAACAAAAGATAATGATGCTCACATTAAGGTGTCTCTCAGAGGGTAGTGGTTTCATTAACAGAAATATGAGAATTAGATAAGAAGTAGATGTAAGAGGAGATTTATTTGGGATACAGTAAGCTCAAAGTAAACATATTTTTACGAACAATTAGAAACAACCATCAAGAACTTAAAACAGAGATTCAAACTTGAGAGATAACATCTATGCATATGTAGTAGGTGAAGTCATGAAGACTGTTATCCAGTAGAGGAGGCCACTTAAGGGTACCAAAAAGAGAAGACTGAGAATATATTCACAGAGAACATTTAGGGTTCAAAAGAAAGAAGCCAGTGAAAACAGAAGTTATTAGAGACGCATGAGAACCTTGGAGAGTGAAATGAAACACTGCAAGAAGAGGAAGGGGATGGTATTAATAAAAATATTACAGAGGGGAGAACCAAGATGGCAGCATAGGTAAACACCGGAAATTGCTGCCTCGCACAACCACTTCAAAAATACAACTAAAAGAAAAAACGGACATCATCCAGAACCACAGGAAGGCTGGCTGAGTGGAAATTCTACAACTAGAAGGAAAGAGAAAAGCACACTGAGACTCAGAGGAGGTGTGGAAGTAAAGTGCAGAGGTACGAAGGCTCATGTGGAAAGGGCTGGCAACTGCGGACATAGTTGTCTTTTTCAATCAGGAGGGAGTCTCAAGCTCCTGACTGCTCTGAACTCCAGTTCCGGGCGAGTCTCTGGGGACCCAGACTCATATGGAGAGAAACTGGACTGTCTGGCAGCGGGCGGAATTTGAGGGCGGCTTTCCCTCAGAGGTGCTTGCAGCGATTACCTGGACGCTGAGACTCGGGGCCTCTTAGGGCAGGGCTGAGGAGCAGCCATAGCTGTTTGCTCAGCCCTGTTGATCCCCTGAGACCCCGCTCCACCCAAGCTGTGCACAGAGGCTTTTGCATATAAAAGGCCTGGCCCTTTGCAATCTGAAAATTACCTAACAAACTGCAGCTAGGTCGGAGAGACCCAGAACTTCCAAAAGAAGGCCCAAGGCCCCACAGCAGCTTGCATTGCTTCACAGCTGGGCCTCATCTGGGCACCTCCAAACCCCAAACAAAGAAGAGTAATCTGCACATCTCTCCATAGCTCCTGCTGGGTAGCCTCAGGCAGAGGCTAAATTAGCACCTCCTTAGAGATCCAAGAGCCAGTGTACCCAGTGGTCAGATTGGGACCATCCAGATTACAACTCCTCAGATCCATAAGGGACACACTCAGGGGGCAGACTCTGTGAGCACCAAATCCCCACTGAAGCAAGTCCTGCCCCATACTTGTGTCTTCAGCACAGAAGTTCTCCCACCGTAGACACAGCTGATTCTCACAGCCAATTGGCCTGGAGGTCAATTCCTCCCAGTGATACCAACAACAATCAAGGCTTAACTACAAGACTATGCACAAAGCCCACAAAGGGGTGCACCAAGAGCGTCCACCTCAGGTAATTGGGGAGGCTGAGCCACTGGGCCCTATAGGACACCTAGCACAGAAAGCCACTCTATCAACACAGGGAAGCATAAAAAATACGGAGACAAAGAAACAGGTCACAAATGACAGAAATGGAGGAAAGCAAACTACAGGATATAGAGTTCAAAACCACACTTACAAGGTTTTTCAAGAATTTTCTAGAAACCGCCGATAAATTTAGTGAGACCCTCAAGAAATCTAAGGAGACCCTCGAGTTTATGAAAAAGGACCAACTAGAAATTAAGCATACACTGACTGAAATAAAGAATATTATACAGAGTTCAAACAGCAGACTAGAGGATCACAAGAATCAAGTCAAAGATTTGAAATACGAAGAAGCAAAAGACACCCAACTGGAAAAACAAAAAGAAAAAAGAATCCAAAAATATGAAGGTAGTGTAAGGAGCCTCTGGGACAACTTCAAGCGTACCAACATCCGAATTATGGGGGTGCCAGAAGAAGAGAGAGAGCAAGATATTGAAAACCTATTTGAAGAAATAATGACAGAAAACTTCCCCTACCTGGTGAAAGAAATAGATTTACAAGCCAGGAAGCACAGAGAACCCCAAACAAAAGGAATCCAAAGAGGACCACACCAAGACACATCATAATTAAAATGCCAAGAGCAAAAGACAAAGAGAGAATCTTAAAAACAGCAAGAGAAAGAAACTCAGTTACCTACAAGGGAATACCCATACGACTGTCAGCTGACTTCTCAACAGAAACTATGCAGGCCAGAAGGGAGTGGCAAGAAATATTCAAAGTGATGAATAGCAAGAACCTATAACCAAGATTACTTTACCCAGCAAAGCTATCATTCAGAATTGAAGGTCAGATAAAGAGCTTCACAGATAAGAAAAAGCTAAAGGAGTTAATCACCACCAAACCAGGATTATATGAAATGCTGAAAGGTATCCTTTAAGAAGAGGAAGAAGAAGAAAAAGGTAAAGATACAAATTATGAACAACAAATACACATCTATCACAAGTGAATCTAAAAATCAAATGAATAAATAATCTGATGAACAGAATAAACTGGTGAATATAATAGAATCAGGGGCATAGAAAGGGAGTGGACTGACTATTCTCGGGGGGCGGGGGTGGGGGTTGCGGGAAGAGACTGGACAAAAATCGTACACCTATGGATGAGAACACTGGGGGGAGGAGGGGTAAAGGGCAGAGGGTGGGGTGGGAACCGGGTGGAGGGGAGCTATGGGCGGAATTAAGAGGAACAATGGTAATAATCTGAATAAAGATTTAATTCAAAAAATTATTGAGAAACAGAAAGAGCAAAAAACTAAAATATGAAAATACACAATTCCCACGGTGAATTTATGGAGATCAACTAAAAATCTAAATAACAAACATTAAATTTAAATTTCATACTCAGAGTAACCTGTGTAAATTCCTGCTTCGGTTGGTTAACTACAATGGCATAAATTCTGGATATAAAATCACATTATTTCCTGTCTTTGTCACCCATTTGAAATAAGAGTTCCAATAAAGAATAACTTTGTAGAATATCTCATTTCTAGCTTTCCAAGATTTTCTGTAATGAAAATTAAGGTGAAAGGGAATAGTAATTATATGCATTGCCCCCTTAGATATACTTTTCTATTCCGTCCATCATTAAAGAATAATTCCTTTGCATAAGGATAATTAATAGTTATAAGGCAATTAGAACCCAAAAGACTTATAAATATAGTTAACAATAATATTTTGTTTAAATTGAGTGCCAAATCATGCTAATACATCTTTTAAATAAAAATTAATTCAGGGGGAGGTAATGTATCATAAAAGAAGGAATACTAGACTTAAAGTTGAGTGGAAAAGTTATATATAGTACAGACTACTGCTAACTTTGTGCAACCCACAGAATAAAGATTTGATCTCAATATTATCCTATTCTAAAACTTTAAAAGCCTTTGCTATTGAGGCTCCAACTCATTGGCAAGGCATTGTAAGGTGCTGCCTAAAGGAGCCGTAACTTCCCTTCCAGCCTTGTCTACCATGTTCTTCAATAACTCTCTCTCCTTCATCTTCCATCCTCAGTCCCTTCTTCTCCATGGACTTTTTGACTTAAAAGACCATGCAGTGCTAAGTGCTGGTTGAATGATTCTACATTTACTCATAAATGACTTATTTTTGAAACACTATTAAATTTATTTCCAAAGATGGTATTTGAATCATTACTGGCTTAGGGGAAGAAAGAAGGTTTTTGGATATTGAGTTAGTAAATCTAATTGTAGTACTAATTTATAGAACTGCTTCTCTCTTCTTCTTTGACTACCTACCCCTCCCCCACAGCACAAAAATCCCTTTTCAGACATTAGTAAGTAGAATGTTGGTTCATCTTCACTGGGATTCTGAATTATAGTGCCAATATCCATATGTAAAATAGCTTAGGTTGCTAGTACTACTTGCAATCACTTCACGTTTAAATCCTGCATCGTGATATTCATGGATTGTGAACAAACCCCTCAGGAGAGGAATAGTGAAAGAAGGGCAGTGAAAGAAAGGCCTGTCCAGGTGTGTCAAGGTGGGATGTTTACTTCACACTTTTCTCACTATGTATACTTGGAAATCTTTGAGCCCTGAAGATTTCCAAGAATCAGCTGAAGAGTCTTGCATAAGATGCTTCAATTCTAAGTAGGGTCTTGCTATAACCGCAGATTTAAAGGAAACTCGAAGTTTCAATTAGTTGGTGCCTCTGATCATAAAATTTATTTACCAAAAATATATTGTCTCTTGGACAATTTCAATGTAGACTGTGGTGTTTTTACTACCTGGCCATTGAGAATGAATAATTCATGACAAAGTTACACGAAAGACTGACACGTAACCTATTTTGGTTTTAAGAGTCACTCTGATCCTAATACAGTGCCACTGGTAAAGTAGGTAGTATAGTACTAGAGAAGATGTATAACTGTAAAGCCATAATTATAGAAGTTGTCAAACTGTGGTACTGTAATGTTTAAAGAGAAAATTGGGATGTTTCACTAAAAAATAGTAGACACTAAATTTTATCTACTGTTTAGTAGGGTAAAAAGTCCAAATTAGTAAGAATAGTGAAAAATAGCCTGATTATAAAAATAAAGCTTATCCTTATTTGTTTTAAGTATTATTACCCTGTCTTCATTTTTAACCCCATGTTTTAAAAAATTTTAACAATCTAGTATTTGAAGCTATTCATTAGAATATAAAAAAATAGTGTATTAGCTGTTAAAAATCTTAGTCATTTACACTGTTGTAGTTTTAAATGTTTCAAAGCACTTTTATGTACATACCTCTTCTGAGCAGCTACCTGAGAACTGTATTAAAAGGAGAAAATAAAAATCTTAGAATCTCAAATAAGTCAAAGCCACTAGTTCTTTTTGGGTAAGTTTCAAGATTACCTTTTTTGGATGCTTTATCATTAAAAAGCACTTATTTTAAACAAAAGATAACTGCTAGCTCTATTTATAAGTCAGCTTGGGTCTTAACTGCCTGATAAGTAATTGTAAAGGATCCTTAAGACATTGTCATTGTTTGACTATACAAATTCATATTGTTTGACTATACAAATACTAGAAAGAGACTAAAAGGTTTCTTTGTACTCACCCCCTTATGAAGTTAAATCCATGTGCACAGACCAAGAGATTTCCATAGGCATCAACTTTCAAAAGATTTCCATATAGTGTATCAAAGACAAGTCCCCTATGTGAAAATGAAAACATTATCAATAATGCAAAATTATACAGGCAATAATCTTATATTACTCAATAACCATGAACCAAACTCATCTTATTCAAGCTTTATGGCAACTCAAGTATGTCCTAAAACAACATAACCCTAGAGACTAAAGTAAGTGAATGAAATCTTAAAAACTAATCCCAGAGCAACTAAAAATTATTTACTCTGTCTAGATAAATAATCACAACTGTTTTCTTTAAGGAACGAGATTTTAATGAAACAAGTCATAAACTATAATTCCTCTTAACTCAGCTGGTTCCATCCTAAAACAGCCTTAATTTCCTTGGACAAAACTGAGCTGGCTTATATTTCCCTCTTTTAGATGTTGTATATGAGAAATATATGATGGTGACATCTCAAAAAAACACAATTTTTCTTAATCTTAAATCTTTCCTAATCAAATTTATTAATGCGAACTGTCAAAAGGCTCCCCTAGTTCAGTGGTTGGACATTGACCTATGAACCAGGAGGTCACAGGTGTAGGGGTGTAGGGGTGTGTGTGTGTGTGTGTGTGTGTGTGTGTATTTTAAAAAGGCTCTTCCAGCCCTAAGTAGGTAGCTCAGTTGGTTTGAGCATCATCTCAATACACCAAGATTGTGCACTGGATCTCCAATGAATGCATAAATAAGTGGAACTACAAATTAATCTCTCTCTCTAATCAATCAATAAATTTTTTTTTTTTTTTTAAAGAGGGCTCCTGCCCGGCCAGCATGGCTCAGTGGTTGACCATTGACCTATGATTCAATCCCAGGTCAGGGCAAATGCCTGGGTTGTGGGTTCAATACCCAGTGTGGAGCATGCAGGAGGCAGCCAATCAATGATTCTCCTTCATCACTGATGTTTCTATCTCTCCCTCTCCCTTTCTCTCTGAAATCAATAAAAATATTTAAAAATATAAAAAGGCTCCTGATTACCAAATTAAGTGTATTAGCAAAACCTGTAATTGCTTTCCAACAACCAAAGTTATATATAGGTAGGAACATCTGTGACTGATTACTGCCCATCAGTTTTACTAGTAATCCTGTTTCTTTTCCATAAATGGATCTCCTTCAATAACAATAAAGCTCAATTCAAGAATAGAAAAGATATGGTGTACATGAAAAGTCCTTGATAATTTTAAAATCAACATCAACCAACTGAAAAGAAAAACACACCTTTTTATTTTTTAATCAGGGCTGCATTTGTAATTATTAAATAGGGGATAAGTGAGGTCTTAATCCAAAATAATCTTGAAAAATTACCTGGTAGGGAATGTAGAATCATAAGCAAAGCTGAGCAGTTCCTGAGGATAGCCAATAGAAACTAATCTCTCCACAGTAAGCTCAAAACCAAGGGACTCATACTCTGGGGACTTGTACACTGCACAAAAAAAAGGTTCTCATTAAAAGAACAGCCAATTAAAATAGAAGGCAAACAAGTGAATTTCTACTCTTCCCTCCCTTTCCTAAATTTCTACCAGTTCCTCCCTCTTTCTAAATCTGCCTTTTTTTTTCTTCTTTTTGCCCCAAATCCATGTTTTGTACTGTACCAAGTAGTCACAGAACTCAATTGTTAGTTTGTTGAAACGGGTAATATTATATACAGTAGGAGCAGCAGTAACAGTTAAATTATCAGACATTTCAGAATAGTTCTTTCATTTTTAAGGAACCTAATTCAAACATTGTTTTCCTCTTTATTCTTTCATACCTACAATCTAAAAGAGGGGGGAAAAACTAATATACACAGTCGTGATATTAACCATGAGAATGTAAGTAAAATAGAAAACTGGGTAGAGGTCTATATCTGTTGAAGCCTTCACTGGTGTGCATAACTGGTGTACAAATCCTTAAAAATGAGCTATGAAAAAACCCAATCTATTTTTGGAATTCCTATTTGGCTTGGTAGCTACATTATATTCCTTCTTTAAGCAGCATAATTCTATTTGTCAGGACTCACTTGTTTTCTTATTAGCCCTAACAATATTATAGTCATCATAATTGCAATTGTATAAGTTTTTACTGCAAAATCAACCATAAAAAGACATGTCTGAGATAATTAGAAAAATCAGGATATGAACTTGGGAGTTACACGACATTAAAGAATTATGATTTATTTCACCCTGGCCGTGTTACTCTGTGGTTAGAGAGTTGGCCCTTATAACCCAAGGGTCTTGGGCTCAATTTAGGTCAAGGGCACATACCTGGGTTAGGGTTTACTCCCTATCCCCAGTCAGGGCACATGTGGGAGGCAACTAGTTGATACCTCTCCCTATCTCCCCCTTTTTCTCTCTTTCTCTCTACCCCCCTCCCTTCCACTCTCTCTGACAAGTAATGGAAAAAAATATTCTCCGGTGAGGATTAACCAAAAAAAAACACTGTGATTCATTTTATTAGATGTGACTATGGAAGAATTGGGATGTGCAAGTATATGTATAAAAAATATATATGTCTTCTTATCTGCCAAAGAAGCACACTGTTTTTTACAGGTGAAATAAAATGGATTTTGGAATATGGGGTTTTTCCTCTTATATCGTATATAGCTGAAATTTTCTATAATAAAAAATACTTTTTAGAATCATCACTGCAGTTCAGCATAAACAAAATGTTGCTCCTTTAATTAGGCTTCTTCCAAATGAAATATTTAGTATCTAGGCAAGCATCCTTCTGTCAGTCTCTAGAAGTGGGTAAGTCATATTAAAAAAAAAAAAAAAAACACCCCCCCCCCCCAAAAGACCTGTTTTCTTGCTAAATGCCAAATGAGGCCAAAAACAAATCCATTCTATTCCTACATTCTCATAATAATGCAACTATTATCATTACATTATTATAATTCTCCTATCTATGATTAACATACGGCCTATGGCTCCAACTCTGATTTTTTCATTGCAATTAGTCTGCTTATCCAAGTTAATGCTAGTATTTTAATGAATACAATTCAACTTTCCCTTTCCAAAAGCAATCCTTTAGACCAGCTGTCGCCAACCTTTGGACCTCACAGACCACCAGAGGTCTGCGGACCACCGGTTGGCAACCACTGCTTTAGACTACTTCTGAAAATACATAAAAGAAAATCATAATACTGGTTGCTCCACAGAAGGGAGATGAATGGCTAAGAGACAGGGGAAGGAAGGAGGAAGACTTTATGTATCTTCTTTTGTACTAAAAACAAACTTGTAACATTATTAATGTATTTGATCTGTTTTTAAAATTAAATTGAAATTTTAAAAAAGCAAGGTGAGCATTCAAAGTCCTTTAAACATTTGTCATTTCAAAGCCTAGAATTATTAAGGTCCTTTAGGAGATGCACTGAGTCTCATCTCATCAGAACAATGCCCCCAAAAGTTGTCATTTCTTTTGTTGTCTTGGGGTATATTAATAAGTTAATGCTAATGCTAACCCCAGCTAACATTTTCAAAACTGGCTATATTTTTTTCCTCCCCTCAATTCTAACCCCATCCTAACCCCACACAAAAATTTTTTTTGAAGTCTCAAGTGTGAAATTCTTAAATCTAGATGATATATACTGTGATAAAGGAAGTGTTAAATATTCATACACATTAACAGGGCAGGTCAGGTGTATTATCATAAAAGCAGGAAAGCATGGTATCCACTGATGTCAATTTGAATTAGTCTGAGAATATAAAATAATATCTCATACCCACCCAGTGATTCCACAATTGATAGAAAATAACATTTTAAAATTTCCATAAAACAAAAATTACTTCCCAATCTACAAAGCCCCACTTATTATAAGCAATAGTTAATGAAACAAAATTCCAGTATAGCGAACCAATCTGCGTAACCCATTGACTCTTATGATTTGGCCTATAACAAATGTTTTCAATTAAAAATTTTTCAGAAGGATAACTTGCTCGATCTGCCTTAAGAATGGGAGACAAAAAACAAGCAAACAAACCTCAATTCCCTAAATGAACAATTTTCCCTAGTTAGAAAATCAGGTAATTTATAGAATAATGGAGTAATAGTGATTAAAACTATGTCTCTGAGACACTTTGGACTGAAATCCAAAATAATTTGTTCAGAATTTTTAGTAGGGGAAAAAATATAAGATGGGGAAATAAAATCTCAGATCCCTATTTTGCCAGAACAAACCCTAGAATAGCAGAAAAAATAAAACCCTCTACACTTGCCACATTGTATTTATTCCAGGGCAGAACTCCTCTCAAGTGTTCAATTGAGATGACCTTCTAAAAATTCCACCTATAGAAATAAACTTTAAATTTCCTTTCTCTCAATGAGTTTAGGGTACTTCCCAAAAAGACCATGTATTTTCCCCATTTGCTGACCTGAAGTTATATAATAGCAAGTACAAACATTAGCTGAAGCAAGAATTTAGGTTACCCCTAAGTCTCATCCAAAGCTCTTTGTGGTGGGGTGTACTACACTACCACTGTTAAAAATGAATTTCTAGATTACATAGCTCATCAAAACTTAAGCTTGGGTGTTGAAACCCACTATCCCTCCAATTTCTCTTATCTAGTCCAAAATAAATTGCTCTAGTCACAGATGGGAATGGATTTAGCAGGGAGAGGCCAAACTCCACTTAGACAACACTATCTATTTTCACTAAGCTCTATATTAATCAGTAAGAACTATGAGCTATTGACATTTTCTCATAAGCTTCCCGGATAATCATTTCAGCAACACGAACTCCCAGGTCATTAAATCATCTGTCAGGGAACTATAAAGCACAACCAGGGCTTGAGAAGCAGAACCACAGCTGCACAGAGCACTAGTTTAGATGTTTTGTTCTAAGTGTCCCTTGGGAATAATCACAATTTGTTCTGACCTGATGGCAAAATGACTATTTCCTGAAGCCTACAAAGTACCACCATTTTTTGAAAAGTAAATACATACATAAATAAGTAAACAAATAATAAAATTCCTCTTTCAAACAAGCCAGCCTTGACATATGTGGAGAACTATATACATTACCTCTGAATATAGAGTGCTATGCCTCTCTACAGCTACAAAGGCTCTAATTTTAATTTCTCTTGAAAACCTGGCCAGTAAATGATGCATAGTTTCAAGCTCAATTCTTACAACTGACTTCCCAAACACAGCCAGTAGCTTCAGAGTAAACATAATCTCACACATGTACTGCTTACTTCTTCTTCAACAAAGTCCTCAGGCCTATCCTAATTTACCCAATATCCAAAGACAAAGGAAAAAGTTATTTTAAGAGCTAGAGTCCGAAAAAGAGGACTGCTTCAGCCACTACGGCAGCACACAGTGTCCTCGGGTTACGTAACTAGCCTAAAAGAGAACAACCGAAGCTTTGAAAGCTAAAGCTACTGAGAGCATTTAAAGATATTCTTTACTCCATCATCTCCAAGGAAAAAAACAGTTCTTCAAAAGATATCAACTGCATATTGTAGGGATAAGAGCTCTGAGCTCAGTTTAAGTAGATGCTATTCATACAAGAGAGAACTTAAACTTAGGTAAGAGGAGACAGTGCGCCTTTGGAATGAGCCAGAAACTTTCTGCAGGGAAGTCTGGAATTCTCATGCACTTTTTACCTTTGCCACCAAGACACACTGTGGTAGTAGTTTCTAGATTTAAGGGGGGGAGAGAAGGGGTGCCGGCAGGAAGGCAAACCTCTACAGAGGTTCCAGCCTAGCAGAGTGCTGCTGCCAAAATGAGAACTCACATGAGGCAGATGCAGATGCAGAGTGTGTCACTCCAGTCTTGAAGGAGTTACACTGGCTCTCCTGTTAAAAAACAAAATAAAGCAACAAAACAAAACAATAACAAAAACAGGTTTAAAACTATTGTGATGGGCTGGAGTGGAGAGATAGCATTTGGAAATTGGTATTTATAGGAGTTACTGCCCCCTCCTATTTAGAAGCCTGTGATCATCACTACAATTTGTCTAATTGCCCATAACAAGGGTATTGAAAATAAACATTAAGTATTGTGCATTATTTACTATTCTGGCACCCTGAGCCTGGAATATAAAAAGTCTGATCCTGAAATGTAAGTTAAAAGAAAAAACAGAAAAAAATTATTTTTGTCTTAGTTTATTTTCTCTAGCATATTTCAGGTTAATATGGTAGAAACTGAATGCAGCTGGTAGGCAGTGTTTAAAATTGAAACAGATTAAATAAAGATTACAAGAATGAACCAGAGCAGTCTCACGTTGTTTTTGAGTACCTATTTAAATTAAGTCTACCTATACCTAACTATCCACTCTTCTATCCTTCCAACACCTAAATTTGCCATCATAATATAGACAAGAACCAACTTCATGTTGCTAAAAACCTAACCCGATGTCTAAATGTAGAAAAAGGGAAATTTTAAAATTTTTATTCTGTCAGTGGATATCTCCCCTTGTAAGTGCAGTCATATTATTCCACTTTC